GTGTGTGTGTGCATGTGCATGCGTGCGTGCATGTGCGTGCATGCATGTGCGTGTATGTGTGTGCACGCATGGTCATGCCCATGAACTGGGATGGGAGCCAGGACCATGCTTACTTGTGGGTGGCGTGGGTGTTTCTGTGGTCATCTATATGGCCTGTCTTTGGGTACTGCAAGGGGCAGTCCTATCACTCTCCCATCCAGGTTCTAAGCCAATCGACAAATAGACGCAGAACTCAGACAGGGACTGACTCCTCTGCTGTTTTTCTAATTATGTTGGAGTGGAGAGTTTGGGTTGATGCTAGGCTTCTCCATCTACTTCCCACCCCAGTCTTGACATTGGGACTCCGTGAGGGGGCGTCAACCTGGAGTCCAGACGCTTAGCCATTCGGCTACCAGGAGATGTGGCCCCTCACACCTGCCTAGGCCAGGGGCCCACAAGCCAAGAGAGGAAGAGATGTCATCTGTGTGCAGAATACTGAAGGGTCTGCCCACTTGTCCTGCCCAGTAGATAATCACACACCAGCTGGGTGGCTGCCAACTCTACCACTCCCCCTGCCATGGGTCGGGGTTGGGGACCGTAGGGAGAGGTGGTAAGACCAGCAGAAGTGTTCCCTCCTACCCTTCAGAGGGACTTCCTGCTTCATGGTTTTATGGGCCTCTGGGAGCACAGAGATTAGGAAAGTAAAGTTTTCTGGCTATAGCTACATGGGACTGAATGTCTGCACGACCACCCACTCGTGAACTTGTGTCCAGTTGTCGTGAGTGTCTCTGTGGGTCTGATTCTGGACAGTATGGGATGATATCCTACATACTCTAGTTTTTAGGGCATTCCCAATCTCAGAGTCTGCCCCAAGATCTCCTAACCCCCAAACCATCACAACATCCTAGCAGTTGTACTATATCAGAATCAAAACCTCATCTCTGGGCTGTCTCTTGGGCCCAGAAGTGGCATAGAAACATGTCTTCCTATCTATTCGCAACATCTCAGGGAACCTGCAGCAAATGTCACCCTTGGCCCTCTCTCCGTCCACACCCCCACCCCACCCCACCCCACCAATTTCAGCTCCGACATGACGAGATCAGGGAAGTCTTTCTTCCCAAAGGTGCTACAAAAGACCAAGAATCCTGGCTTCAATGCACATTCAAACTCGTAGGCGTCAAAGGCTTAAACAATGTTCTAACGTTGTGGGATTCTGTGTGAAAGTTTTGGGCGACACCAGCTCATTCCTGCCCCCATTTTCTTCCCCTCAGGCTGCCTGGAGGTATTATGCTACCAACCCCAGCAGGATTGACCTTGTGGCAACTTGGAGGTTCTATGAATCAGTTGTCTCTTTTCCATTCTTCAGGCAAGTGGTGACCCCTCTGGAATGCTCAGGGCGTGGGTGACCGTCCACCCCCGTGGGTCTGTACGGGTGCCTGTGGCCTTCACGACTTCCTGGAGGTCATCCTTCAAGGCAGTGGGTCCCCGTCTGAACTGCACGTTAGAATCACCTGGGAGCTTAAAAAATCCCAGTGCCCAGGCCACACCCCGGGCTGATGAAATCAGAATCCCAGAGATGGGGCCCAGGCATCAGTATTTTTTAAAGTCCCCCAAATGACCCCAGGGTACTACCATGGGTTACCAGCTAGACAATGTAGAGTAGCAGATAAGGGGCAGCCCCCTCAATGTTTGAGCAAGATCAGTGGCTGAGGAAGTGGGAAGCAGACCACTTTGGATGCTAGGAACAGGCCGGCAGGCAAAGGCAGCAAGGAGAGGCGTCCTCCAGGGACTCTGTGATGTTGTTTTGTGTTCTCAGAGAGGGGAGATGAAATGAAAACGCTCAGGAAAAGAAAAACAAAAACTTTCCAGGGCCAGCACCTATGAAAGGGAGAGAGAAATTAGTATTTATTAGATGTCCAATATGTTCCAGGTATTCAAGTTCAGATTTTCTTTAATCCTCACGGGCACCCTGCAGAATAAGTCAGAGGTTCTCAAACGTCCAGGCACATTAAAATCGGTGGGTGGGTGTGCAGAGACAGATGGCGTTGGAGTGGGAAAAGCCTCTTGCACAGGCGCCCAGCGTGCTTCCAACACAGCAGCCATGGTGTGCACGGGGGACCGGCTGCGTGGCCACCATCACCTGGCGCCTCTCACGAGTGGACCAGGGCTCAGAGCTGTGGGACACCTTGGCCAATGTCAGCCACATACGCAGGCCCCCAAGCTTTCGGTCCTTTCACTGCTGGGGCTGCCGAAACAGGCTGCTCCTTTCCAGGTTTTCCTTACTGCCGTCCAGAGCTCAGATTTTTAAGCGTGTGCATACAACGCTGGACTGCTTACAGTCCTGAGCTGGGAGGAACAGCAGGGGGACCCTCAGCTTCACACCTGGAGCTGGGGGCTGCTCTGCCGTGTGTTTCTGCCGCGTGTCTTTGGTTTCATGGACCGTAGTATGACCCAGTCCTAGACTGGTGACTCCCTCCATCCCCATCCCCATCCCCTCCCCTCATTATGGGACCTGAGACCCATCTCTGAACTTGGCCTCAATTACCCCACCATCCCCATCACCAGATTGTGGTAAAGATGAAAGAAAGTCCAAGAGATCTGGGTTTTACTCACTCATTTCCCTGCATAAAACCTATCCGGGGGTGATCATGACAAAGCGCATAAGAGCCAAACCCTGACCGTGACCTACATGGCCTGAAAGCTGAGGCCCGTGCTGACCGCTGCCACCTCCCCTCCTACCTATGTGTTGTCACTCTCCGGGGTTCTGGTCGCATGAGCCTCTTTCGATTCAGGGCACTCCGTGCACTAATATTTTTGAGCCCCTTGTCTGTGCTCAGCACTGGGCCAGACCATGGGAGGTCACAGGTGACTTGTGAAGGCATCTAACTTGGGTCCTCAAGGCAAAGAGAAGCCATGTGACCACAGAACGATGTGATCAGGTCTGTGTCTCAGGAAGATGACAGGAAGGCGTGTGGAGGATGGATTGGGCAGGCTCACGGTGCTAGGCAAGGAGATTAGCTAGCAAAGGATAAGAGGACGTGAGGGCTTGGACCAAGGTAAAATCAGTAAGAAGCAGGAGGAGAGAGAGGAACTGAAAGGGGATAAGCAAAGAGGGAAAAAAACCTCAGGGAGTGAGGACTTGTGGAAGGGCTCAGGAGCTGAGAAGAAGCAAGGCTTCAGTAAACGATGAAGTATGGTTTACTGCCTGGGTCTTACTCGTCATTAGCCTCCCTCGCTCAGAAGATGACCTCTGTGGTTCCGATTGATTGTAGAATTCTGTCCTTGCTATCACTGTTTCGGGTTTTGGATAGAATCAGTCTTCATTTGGGTAGCAAGGTTCTCCTGGGACTGGGCAGGTGGCTTGCCCTTCAGAGAACAGCGTGACCTTGAACTCAGAAGCAAGAATGTGCAACTATGTTGAACGCAGAACCAAGACGATTTCTGTTTGCTGTGCATCCCAAGGTCTTGGCAACAGGCCCACTCTGTGGGTTTGATTTATTATAAACAAGCTATTGTCCTAGCTGTCAGGGGCTTGGAGGAATATACTGTGCTGCAGACAGCTGCTGGACATGACAATGGCTTTGAAACTTAAGAGAGAACATTTCTTTCTTGCTTACTCCTTTTCAAGGACAAAAGTGCAAAGTCACTAGAGAAATGTACTTAGCAACTGTTCTGAAACAAAGCAAGCCCTTGGGAAAAGACAGTCCCTAAATTCCAGCCCCCTCCATATATTTAATAGCAAAGAAATATTAATAGTTGATAATACACTGGAGTGACCTCACCTGCCTCCTAAGTGTTTTAGTTTTTCATTTATGCTCTTTTAAAAAAATAATTTTATTGAGATATGTTTCACATAAGAGGATTTCACATACCACAGAAGTTACTTTTTTAAAGTGGACAATTTAGTGGGGTGTTTTTTAGATTTTTTTAGTATGTTCACATATACACTTAGCAGCTACTCTTGGCCCCTGCAGCCACTAATCTGTTTTCTGTCTCTATTCTGCCTATTCTGGACATTTCATATAAAAATATAATCACATAATATGTGGCCTTTTGTATGTGGTTTATTTCACTGAGCATAATGTTTTCAAGTTTCACCCGTGTGGTCCTGTGTGTCAGATCTTTATCCCTTTTTTATGACTGACTGATGGTCTACCTCGTATGCCCCATTTTGTTTATTTATCAGCTACTGATGGACACTTGGGTTGTTTCCGCTTTTTGGCTGTTGTGCTGCCATGAGCATTTGGGTACCTGTTGTGGACATATGTTTTCAGTGCTCATGGGTATATACCTAGGAGTCGAGTTGGCAACTCAGTTGAGAACCTGCCAGCCTGTTTTCCATGGTGACTGCACCATTTTACATTCCTCCCAAAGGTTTTGAAGGGTGAAGCTGTGTAACCCGTCCCTAGGGGTGGAGCCATTTCAAAGCTTCCAGCTCAGGGTTGTCCTCTGTTCATTTGCAAGCATCTATGTGTTCAGGGCTGGCAGTGATGGGTGATGACGGTGTTCCCTGTTTATTTGTCCTTTCTTATGGCTTAAATTTATAAATTCGTTTTTGAATTGCATAGAACTCAGTGTCAAGTCCAAAGTCAATTTTGTGTGAGAAGAAACGGAGGTCCCCAGGAGTGCAGGAACTTGCTCAGGGCCACACATCATGTTGGGCAAAGCTGAGACCAAACCCCGGTTTTCTGATCTGCTGGCCAGTGTAGACTGTGTCGACGTGGTTCAATTACATGGCAGGTGTCTTAGAAGGTACTGGCAGATCCTGGGGCCGATCAATGGGCCATCCCTATATGCAAGCAAAGATGAGAGCAGACATCGCTTCCATTGACAGAAGAGCGTGCACATCGATTGGTTCCCTAAAAGTGGTTGTGGAATGGTGGACAGCTGTGCTGTCCAGCGGTCACCACTAGCCACATGTGGCTACTGAACATCTGACTGTTACTAGTGCAACTGAGGAGCTGAATTTTTCATTGCATTTCATTTTAAGAGCCGTATGTGACTAGTGGTTATCATATTGGACAGCACAGCTCTGGAATCATTCGCTATTGGAGCTAAAATAGAGATGGGGAGACTTGGGCCCAAGAAGTAGAAGTTACTTGACCAAACTGTCCTAGTTAGTTCCTTGGGTAACCAGGTCTTGTTCCTTGTATGACCAGGGTCAAGACTATTGAGTGCTTAGAAATGGAGAATGGGGACCACATGTAGTCACCTTCCCCTATGGGCGAGCAACATCGGATCTGCTTTCATACGTGCTGTTTCATTTCATCTTTAGAATGTCCTGGAAGACACACAGAATGGATGACTCCATTTTCCATAACCCCAATTGTATAGTGCGGGCTCAGGAGCTAGGGGTTGAATCTGACCCTGCCGCTTCCTAGCAGTGAGACCTTGAGCAATGTCCTTAACCTCTCCGTGCCTTGGTTTTCTCATCAGGATAATGGGGATGACGATACTTACTTCATAGGGTTGTTATGAAGATTAAATGAGTTGATCCATAAAAAGCACTTAAAATAGTATCTGCCTATTAAGTATTGCTCATTAGTATTTGCGATGATGATGGTGGTGGTGGGGGTGACAGGGTGACGGGGTGTGTGGCTGCTAAATTATGAAATTCTTGGTTCCCTGGTCTGTCCCTACTGCTAAACAAATCCCCTGAGCCCAGCACGAGGCCTGGGGCACAATAGGTGCTCAGCAAATGTTTCCTGGATGAGTCAATGAATGAATGGCTGAGAAGAACCTTGAGAGCTCAGCGGCAAACCGTCACCCCAGCGGAGGCCTGGGGTCTGGCTGGAGTCACCCATCTCATTCTGTGGTCCCCCTCCATACTCACCATCTTGTCCAAGAGCTCCACTCTGCTCCTTTATCTTCATCAAAGGGAAGTTTGGGGGGCAAATGTTGGGGAGAGGGGAAGCTGTTGCGTATAATTTATACTTTGTTTTTTTCTCCCTCATCTCCTTACAGGAAAGAACAGCTGGAGGCAGCATCCAGGTATGTTTCTGATTATGAATTCCCTTCCTTTCACCACTGTGTTGGGACACAGGGTCCAGGTCTGTAAGGTATAAAGCCCCGAGGTGGCCATGCTGCTCACAGATAGAGTTTTGGGACCACCATATCCCTCTGTCATCTTCTTGTTAATTTATTCAAGGATACCTTAATAGTGATAAAAGCAGCAGTCACTTATGAGTTTCTCCTCGGGGCTGGATTCTGTGCCTGGAGTCCCGCGTATGTTATCTCCTTTGGTCCTCACAACCACAGTATAAGATAGGCCCTCCACATCCTCATTTGTGGATAAAGGAGATTGAGGCTCAGAGAGGTTGAGTTATTTCCCCTGGGTCACACAGCTACTGAGGTGGCAAGACCATAATGCAAACTCAGACCTGAATATTAAGACCATATTACTTCCATTATATATCATTTCATTTGCTTCTTGGGCTCACAGATGGTTCTTCCAAAAGTGAATCAAGACTGTAATTCACAATCCCCACAACGATAGAGGTTTCCCCCAGGCCACCGTGCTCGCTACAGGCTGCTGCAGAGGCAGGTTGAGCCTCTGGGTTATGAGCACTTCTCTACCCCTCCCTTCTCTCTCCCTGTTGAGAAGATACCACATACCAGGGAGACTGTGGACCCGGCTCGAGATTGTAGAGAAAGACCATCTCTTGCAAATGTCAGCTTAAGCTATATTTAGAAGCATAAATATATCATACCTATATAATATATATTTATTCTATTATTGTGGGCCTGCCACTTGGGAGGTCTTGCAATCAGTCTCCTAGACATTATGCTCAACTGCTGTTCTTGTAGAGCTGACAGAATTGGGGCAGAGTTGGGGACAGGAACCTGGACCACCTTGTAATGGAACCATTTGAGGACAGTGGCCTTTGGGAAGTGGGTCAAGCCTTCTTGAATGGGGTCCATGGTGCCCTGTCCCCTCCATAACCCCACCTTGAAGAAACAATTACAGACCACGCCAGTTAACTCCTGTGCAGAAATGCCACAAGCCTTTCTGCCTCCTTTGTGCGTGGTTTCCAATGGACCGAGCGTTTCTTTCCTGGACCCAGTTTGGACTGTAGGGGGTGTTTGGTGAGATTGTAGAGGAGGGCTGGATGATTGACAAGGACAGTGTCGTTTGCTACAGAACCTACAGCAGCTCATAGCTCACAGAGGCAGAGCAGGGAGACGCCTCAGAGAGTCTTTTCTAGCTACTTTTACAGACACTGAGTCTCCTCCTCCAAGAGTTCAAGCTCACCCCAGGTTACAGAGCCCATGAGCTGCAGGGGTTACAAGATCCAGGTCTCAGGACTCCCAAAGGGGTGCTTGCTCCCCTCCTTCTCTCGCGACCAACAAGGTTTTTAATCATGCAGGAATTAATACTGCAAGTGAGCTACTAAATCTACCTGTACAGCCTTTTCTATGTAGACATGAACAGCATTCAGCCATATTGGAACCTACATGCAAAATCTCATTATGCACTGGATTAGGCACTTCCAATTTCATTAGAACCCAGGTAGATGCATGTTAAGGCTTACTGAAATAGTGAGTGGATGGATGGATGGATGGATGGATGGATAAACTCTTTATTCTACAAGTGTCATAAACCCAACTTACGCAATTTGGACTAGGAGGGAAATGTAATGACCCAATAGTCACTCAACAGAGGGGAACCTCTGAGAACAAGGCATGGCTCTGAGCTCCGTAGTTCACAGTCCCGACCGCTATACCGGTCCTCGTGGTTGCTGGGAACAGTTACTAATCAGCTGTTTTGTTTTCCTCTACCCTTCCTTGGCTCACGTGGCTGGAATCCCTGCCGTGAGAGGGAGGTGGTGGAGGCAGGGAAGTGAAGGAGCATTTGGTCAGACGCTGTAATTCACACTCTGCCTTCTCCCTGTGACATCAGCCACATGAAATCCGTCTCACAGGGTGATGGATGATGTTGGCAGTAAATCGTCCATGCCATAAAATCAATGACTGTTAACAGCATGCAGGAATTCAAAGCTCAATTAAGCCAATCCCCTAATTTTACTGATGAGAAAATTGTTACCCAGAGCAAAATAAGAGCCTTGGACACAATGCCATTGTTATTCATATTTTCTCCTGCCATCCAGACCCTGCAACACTGGTGCCAGGCTGCAGAGTAACTGAGATGTGGAGATGAGATTTGGACCAATTTTGTTTAACCTCAGAGGGCTCTCCGACATGTCCTGAGGGCTTAGTTTCAATTTTCCTTTGGGAAAATGGCGGAGTGCTTATTATTGATAGCACTGCTTTCCCTCTGATTTTTGAACCCGTTGACAATAGATGTAGGAGTTTCAGAGAAGGATCAAAATACAGGCTACATTTGGTGGGTAAAGCAGAATTGGCTGTGGGGGCAACAGTGAGCTTCATAATACTCCCCACTAAGATGTGCTTGGGACCAGCACATGGACAGAGCACACACTAGCCCTGCCAGCCACGTGGGGTCATGACCTGTCTGACCCCAGGGGCCACTGATAGCCAGAGAGTGACCATATGTGACCTTGCATATATAATTGACCTCTAATATGGAGGCCCATCCAATCAAGAAAATGAGCCAATAGCTCATATCCTGCAGCACCGTATCCCAGTCAGATAATTCACCTCTTCCCTTGGGGAGAGAGAAGCTAGTAAAGGGCTAGAGGTTTCTTCTTAATTCTTCTAAGAGGGCAAAAATTCCGTTTTTATGACTTTGCAACCCTGTGAAAAAGGCTGGTCCTCCTACGCTCCATGTGGCCTGCTCTAACCAGGAGCACATCACTCCTTAGCACACAGAATGCATCACAGACCTGACTTGGTTCCATCAGTCCGAAAACAGGACCCATGCACCCACCTATTGGGTTTTCCTCTCACCTATTGGGTTTTCTCCCTTCCAACATCCTTATGACGTCACAGCTACACGGACAGCTCCTCCCTACTACCCCCATCTCATTCTGCACCTGGATGGGGGCAGAGGGTGGGGGGACTACGACAAGAGTTGCATTTGAAAGGACCACTCCTTGGTCTCTCTTTGTACTTTGTTCATATGAGCAGTTTCATGAGCATTGAATGTGCAAAAGCAGACCTGGAGCTGAATTTGAAAGTAAGGACAAAAGAGAGTTTTAACAGAACTGGGAGTGAGAACAGTCTAGATTGGGGCAGGCAAGGACTCCACCCTTGGAGGGAGTGTATAAGGAAGGGAGGTTCAGAATCCAGCAGAATGGCGTAGACACTGAGAAAAACCCCAGAGGAGGGGAGATCTAAATTGTTTTTTATTCAGTTTTGTAATTTTGGAGGGTGGGGGGGGGAGCATTTGCATCCTCTGCCTGGAGAGCTCTCACCCCTTTTCTTGGAATCCTGGCTTCTCACCCCTCAGGCCTCATCTTCCACGTCTGCATCACCTTCATTTTGATCGTGGACGATTGAAACTGGCTTGCTCATTGGTTTTCCCATCCCCCTAGAGGCCTTCCCTGGCCATGCTACCTAAATTGACCTGCTATCCACTGTTACTGTACTTCTTTTGTTTTCCGGTCAGATGTCTAGCGCTATCTGCATCTGTGTGCTTACAGCGTGCCTTTTGGACCTTTGGAAACCATGTCTGTTTTAGTTGCCGCTGTGTACTCAGCAAGTGTCCAGGAGCCCAGCATTTATAAGGTGTTGAACACGTTTTTGTTTCATAAATAAATAATATTAGTTGTAATTTTACAGGTGGAAAAAACCTGAACCAGAAAGTATTAGTGACTTACCCAAGTTGAAATATTAGCTACAGAGCAGAGATTTGAACCCAGTTCTCTTACTCCAAAGTCCACGCTCTTCCCAAGTGGAGCACTCCCTTTCTCATCTGAGGTTTTGGGTGCATTTTAGCAATCAGAAGATCACACATCGTATCCCTTTTTTCATTCAACATCATCATAACGCTTTCAGTGCTTGTTATGTGCCCGGCGCTGTGTCAGATGCTGGATGATTGAACAAAGCACAGTTTCCGGACCAATCGCTTACTTTTTAGCTTCTCAGTCTCAGCTCTATTGTCACTTTGGGTAGCATAATTCTTTGTTGTGGGGAGCTGCCCCATGTGCATTGTAGGACGTTTAGCAGCATTCTGGTGTCTACCCACTGGATGCCATTAGCACTCCCCAAGTTATGTCAATCAGCTATGACTCCAGACATTGCCAGATATCTGTCCACTGGGGTAGGGATCAGAATGATCCCCGGTGAGTGAGAGAGCCCCTAATAAGTCACAGATTTCATTATGGTGGCCGAGTGCCATGATTGAGAAAAGCCTAAACGAAGCACAGTGGACAGGTATCTAATTGGACCAAGAGTGGACGTGAGCCTCAGGGCTGATGCTTGGACCAAGTTTCAGACAATTAAGTCAGAGTCATTTAGATAAAAGAAGGGATGAAGGCTTTCCCAGGTACAGGTGACAGTATGTGCAAAGGCTGAGGAATGTGGAAGTTGGGAAACTGCATGGAGTTTAAGTTTAACATGGCTGCAGTTTCCTAAGGCAGGAGCCCAGGGTAAGGTCTGCTTATGCCAAGAAAGAACAAACTTTGATTTTACTTTTCTGTCCCCAGTCCATCTATTTCTGGCTTTTCCAATTCATGTTTGAAAATTGCCTGCACTTAGTTATTCAGGGACCCCAGTTTTTCAAGGAAGTCTGGTATCAGCTGCAAGTAGGGTTTATTTATCTTGTTAGACCTGCAGCACCCTCCAAGCACAAGGTCTGAATTATGCACCAGAAATCCATACAGAGAAGGGCAGAGATGGGTTTTGAGTTTCAGGGGTGCACTTGGCCTTGCATTTGATTATCCTTTGGGGTCTTGGATTTCAGGCAACACAATTAAGAAGTAAGCTGATCACCACTTTCCTGGAGGAAGAATTCCATAAGCCTCTTAGGTGCAATGGCCGTGAGGAATTCAGAGCTGAGGTTTCTGATTTGCATCTGGCACGTCTAGGTCCCTAATGCTGGCAGAGCCCATCTCTTATAAACCATCTTCTGTGACCAATGAGATATTAAGTGAACATAGCCAAAGCCATTCGGACTGTTAGCGGTCGAAATGAGCCATTTAAATGCCAAACAAGCAAAGCCTAAATCCAGCCCAGAGCCCAGAGAGTCCCCCCATTATCTTTCTAATAGTCAGCAGTTAAGCTGAGATTTCAAGTCAGGACCAAGTGGCTGCCATTATATTTGTCGTGCTTAGTTTATCTGGAATTAAGCTCCTCGTATACTTATCTCCTGCCAAGGTCAAGTTCAGTGACAATGGTGAGTGTTTGAGACGAGCATTAAGAAGTAGTGTAAAATAGCATAATGTTGACTGCAACTGTAACTGAAAAAAAATTTAATTATAAAGGTACTGTAAAATAATGCATAAATCCCAAGAACTCATTTCAGTTCATTTGAGAAAAAAAAAAAAAGTGCCCTGTGGCCCAGGAAATTGTATCCATGTTTTTCACACGTCATTAGCCTTCTGTGAGAAGAGAATTATTTACTGAGATAATGATGACAGCTGGCATTTATTGAAGGCTTCTCTCGTCCCAGACAGTGGCCGTGCGTTCCCTCATTGAACCCTTAACCATGGTCACGAGGGCCGGTTGTCGTCATTGTGCATGAGAGGAAGCTGGTGGCCAGACACAATGAGTCCCATGTCCTATGGCCCGTCTTTCTCCGGATGTTTCCACCTGGGCTAGGGTTGCCCCCAAACCCATGACTTTTGCCGCTACCGTGAACAAGTGGGATGTGCTGAGCAGGGCGTGTGCTGGGCTCAAAGATAACCAGGCAGAGTGTTTGCTTTGCTGGGGCTGCGTGATCCAGTGAGGTGGGCAGGCATGGAAACGCATGTCTCCACTCAGTGTGTTAAACACTGTGACAGAAAAACACAGGTGTCTTTGGAGCAGAAGGGGAGTTTTAAAGGGTAGATGGGAATGAGGCCAGCTGAGAAGGCCAGAAAGGGCATGGCGAGATGGAGGACAGCGCATGCAGGAGGACACTTGGGGACGGGCAAGGTTCTTGGTGTGGCTAGAAGGACAAATCCGCAAGTCACGTAGGCAGGGCCCAAGAAGAAGGGGGCCTGAAAAGCGGCTGGTCTAAAGTCCCCCTTTTACGTAGCTCATAGATAGGAAAGTCTTCTGTGTGTGTTCCGTCAGTTTCCTGCTTTGTCCAATATTTTTAGCCCTTCCTGCCTTGTCTAGTATTTTTAGCCCACAGACCCTGATATATTCTCTGTCTTAGTCATTTATCTAGTACTGGTGAGGAAAGCGGTTCTGAAAATTGTGACTTCAGGTCAGGGAAAATGGAGCGATCTATTTGGAGTTTCTCTGAATGTACCCTGGGCAGGCTATTAATATAGCAGTTCTGGGGGAGAGAGAACAGTCCGGAGGAGTCAGGAAGGACAATTGTTCAGCCATATGTTCACTTATTTATTTGTTACCAAATACACCTTAGTGTCTTCTCATTGCCAGGCTGAAGGCAAGAAACATGGCCGATATTATCGAGCGTAGTGCTCCCCAAACCTCTAGGAAGCAGGTATTGTTAGACTCATGGAACCCAGGAGAACCTGGTGCTCAAAGGGCATAGGGCACCTGCTCGGGGGAGGGGGTGTCCCAGCCTCCAGCACCTGTGACCTCCTCACCACACCACACCACACCGCAGACGTCAGCTGCTTTAGGCACCAAGCACGCTGCTGTCATCACCAGGCACACTCTTTAGAAATTCTAAATTATCTCAGTTCGATGCAGGGCTGACTCAAAAGCCCATATACATTTGCTCATGCATTTATTCCACAAGTTCATGGTGCACCTACCGAGTGTCAAGCCCTGTGTAGGGTGATGGAGAGAAAGCCACTGACGTGACTATATTGTATATGCAAAAACACGTAGTGTGGCTTCTCTCTGGTCTATACCACACAAAAAGGACGTCATTCCTCTTGTCCCACTAGGGTGAGGGGCGGAGGCTGAGAACTAGAGGGAAGAGATTAATATTTATAGGGCACCTACTATGTGCCAGCTATGCCAAATCCTTGACCAACACCATCTCCTAGCAACCAGGAGAAGCGAGGAATGCTTCTCCCTATTTTAAAGATGAGGTAGCTGAGACTCAGAAAGGTCACAGATGTGCCCCAAGTCACCCAGATGGTGAGGGGTACAGCTGGATGTAAAACTGCCCCTGGTTTTTGTCTCAGGGTGACTTTATGTTGGACTTATTAACTGTTTTTTGTGCCAAGAACACTTTTGGTGGTTTGATGAAGTCCGAGGACCCTTTCTCAGAATAACAATTTTAAATCCACAAAAAAAAACAGTTACAAAAGAAACTGAATACAGTTGACCCTTGAACAACATGGGGGTCAGGGGCACCCCGGGGCACTCAAAAATCCCCATTTAGCTTTTGTCTCCCCCCAAATTTAACTGCAAGTTGTCCCTCAGTATTCTCGGGGGATTAGTTTCAGGACTCCCTCGGATACCAAAATCCATAGATGCTCAAAATGGCAAAGATTGGTGCATGCAGTTGCCCCCCACAACCTCTGAGGACTCCCCACCACGAATCCAAAATATTTTTTTTTGATTCGCAGTTGGTTGAATCTGGAGTTGCAAAACCTGGGGAAACAGAGAGCCAACTGCATATTTATTGAAAAAAACCCCACCTATCAGTAGACCCACATAGTTGAAACCCATGTTGTTCACAGGCCAACACTGTATTGAAACATAATCATCAAAACATGTAAGCATTTGAGAGGCGGTCATGTATGTGCTTCTCTGTGACGAATCTAATGACAGGACCTCATGGCAGGTTGAACATTACCATAATTTTGAAGCAGGGACCAGCATCGCAATACCTGGAGAGAGGAGGACATAAAATGACCTGTGATTTCCATTGTGGAAAGCCACACGATATGACTCGGGCATTCAGGATATTCCTGGGGCTTATTACCTACATTCCTGATAGAAAGACATGCTACATTTCAGTTAGAGGTTGGTAAATTAAAGGGGTCATGTTTTTCCCAGTCAGGCTCATGGACGCCCCCTCAATTCTACAGGTTAAGGGGAGGTGTCTGTGGACACCAGGGTAGGATACCTGCTTTGTGTAATTTATGTCATTCAATTCTGCTCAAGGAACATTTGATCAGTCTTTTTCGGGGTGTAAGTCGCTATCTGGGCATCATGGGCTGGTGCAAAGGAAGTTACTGATACCAAAGAGATGGGCGCGGGAAGGAACAAAGCTTTGCTGCATGCTACTACGAGCGAGGCATTTTACATCCTGTATCTCATTTAAGCTCCTCTTAAGTGTAAGAGGAAACTGCAGTCCAAAGAAGTTAAGAAACGTCCCCAGGGTGTCATAGCTAGTAAATTGTTGAGCTAGGATCAGAAGCAAGCCCTCCCTGCCCATCCAAGCACCTACATCAGACTTAGCATTGAGGGCACTCCCATCCCATTCACGGAGAATGTGTGAGTCTTTATGGAGAGGGACGGGGAATTACAAAAGCCTGCACTCAAGGAGGAAAATTGTTCACTTTTGCTTATTTTGTAGCCAAAAGCTGGGTCTCTTGGATCGGGTTCGCCTTTCTAATCCTCGCGGTAGCAATACTAAAGGAAAGCTATTTACCCCTCTGAATGTAGATGCCATAGAAGAAAGTCCTTCTAAAGAACCAAAGCCTGTTGTCTTAAACAATAAAGAGCGCTTTCGCACCGCCTTCCGCATGAAAGCCTACGCTTTCTGGCAGAGTTCTGAAGGTAAGGCCTTTCTTCTCCCTCAACCTGAGTCCCCCACTTCCACCTCTCCCAAACCCTCTAACTTCGTTCCCTACCTCCCTTCCCCATTGAAGACCTCTCCGCAAAGTAGCCCGTTCCCTACCCTCCCTGAACCAACTTCTCGTTCATCCTGTCCAGGTCCCCGGGGCTTCTGTGATATATCCCCATCCAGTTAGCTGTTCTCCTGGGCCGTAATCAGCACATTTGTCTGTGCAGATGCCTCAGAGACCTTTGGGACATAGCCCCACAGTTCCTAAGGGTGGCCATGATAAATGCATTATCATGGAGGTGAACTTGAAGGATGGAGAGGGGCCAGGTGAGCTGGGGTCAAGCAGGGCTCAAAGAGTGACCCCTGCCCTCCCACCAAGGCCACAAGCATAGAGTAAGACCTGAACTCAGATCTATCTGATACCCACATGTGTGTCCTTTGCTGCCCTTAGAGGGCCACTCGGGAACCCTGGAACTCATGTCACTTCCCTCCTAGCCTTCTCCCCCAATTAGCAGTCCTGAACGGCAGGCACCTCTGCCTCAGACACCTGGGTAATAGAACGGGAGTGCTAAGAAAGGCCGAATGACGTCCCAGCTGGAGAACACGCCGTGGCTTCTGGAAGTGGAAGAAACTCCCTGGAAGCTGAGCTTGGATAGCTATGACTAAACGAGGTCCTGAGCCTTTCCAAGTGCTGTGGCCTGCCACTGACACGCGTGTCTCCCTCCCAGATGCCGGGACAGGCGACCCCATGGCGGAAGACAGGGGCTATGGGAATGACTTCCTCATTGAAGACATGATCCCCACCCTGAAGGCCGCCATCCGAGCCGTCAGGTAAGGCCCCCCTGCTGTGAGCTCCCCAGAGCCCAGCTCAACTCCACAGGACATGGCTGTGAAAAGTGCTCTTGGCTTTGGGAAGGTGGATGGGAAGCCCTGAGTCAGGTCCAGGGGGATGCTGCCTGAAGAAAAAGATGAGTCCCAGATTCGCAAGTCATGATGGGTGACACTTGCTCTCCTGGGTATAAAAATGCTCCCACGGGGCCGGCCGAGTGGCTCAGTTGGTTAAGAGCTCACTCAAGAGTTTGAGCTCTGAGCAACAGCGGTTCTATGTCCGGCCCAAGCTGAGCTGCCGCTGAGCTGCCAACAGGTGGCAGGATGGCTCAAAAAAAAAAAAAAAAAAATGTTCCCACAGGCTCCTGACAGTATTTGCAACTGCCATGCTCCTGTCTGGCTTTGGCCACCATTTCTTTTAAAGGATAGTGGGACAGGGGGTATACTGACATGAATTTTTCTTCCTTTATAAATAGCTTTTCCTCTGTTTTCATCCATCTAATTCATTTTTAACAAGATAATGATAGGATTGTGTGTGTGTGTGTGTGTGTGTGTGTGTGTGTGTCTATATCAGATGAGATTATAATCTACCCTGGCTATTTCTGTCTTGCTTTAGAATTCTGTAAGAAAATAAAGATTTGCTACTGTAATACTTCAAACAAACTTTGATCAGGATATGGGCTTATAAGCCCACCACAATGGTGGCAGTGAATTCTAGAAAATAAGTTGGATTCTCCAAGAACTGCTCATGGTGTTTTAAGCAAGGTTCCCAGTCCAATAGATCAGGGAAGCACAAGATTGTTATGATATGTGGACCTCAGCAAAGCCATGACCTAGTTTCTCATGACACCATCATGCACAGTGTAACAGAGCTACAGCTGGATAAAGCACACCAAGCTGCATTCATAACTGGTTGAATGATCTTATTCAAAGGAAACCCACAGATAAATCTGTGTCACCCTGGAAGGAGGTCTCTGCTGGGATGCTTCATGGTCTGGCTGCTGCCCTGTCCTTTTCAGCATTTTCACTGATGCCTTAGTTCAGGGGTGGGCAACTTTTTCCGTGAAGAGCCAGATAGTAAATATTTTAGGCTTTCTGCTCCATAGGTCTCTCTGTTGCAGATCTTCAAACTCTGATTTTGTAGCACAGTAGACAGTACATAAATGAAGGGCTGTGGCTGTGTTCCAACCTAAATTTACTCTGTAAAACAGGCCAGACCTGGCCTTCGAGCCGTCGTTTGCTGACACCTACCTTAGATGGAGTTACGCAAAGGGCAGACTTGTAAAATGACATGAAGCTAGAAACGGATGGCAAGTCAATTGGATGGTTGACTCAATATACCCAAACAGCGTTTAGAGATTGGAGCCGTGGGTTATGACAAACAAAATGAACTTTGAATGCACAATAAAAAAAAAAAGACCTATGCAAGTGTGAGATGGGAAGGCCTGAGATAGGCAGTGTTTCCCATCGCTGACCAGTGATTCGGGGTTTTAACGCATGCCGTGCTCAGTGGGAGTTGACCTCAGGATGGGGTTTTCAAGGAGCATTAGTCATCTGGGGTGACTTGATTGGTTCCCGGAAAATGGGGGTGAGGGTTTGGCATCTGTGATTCTGAGTGTCCCACTTTACTAAGAATCTGAGAAAACTCAAGGAACAGAAGCTAGTTTCTCATTTCTAGGAGCTCACACGCCAAAGATTTGGAGGCTATTCAGGAATAGCTGTCCTCATATAGACACAATGATTAAGAGCATGAGCTGTGTCAGCAGCATACAGTCCCGGGGTTTGAAGAAAGTTCTGACTTTATTAGCAAATGGCCCGGGGAGGATGCTGAACCTCTCTGGGCCCCAGTTCCATCATCTAAGAGTGGAGCTATGTATTACAATAGTAGATTGTTCATAAAATACTTAGCTCAATGTCTGTAATGAATACTCAGTCAATGTTAGCTCTTATTTTACTATGATTTTATTATTATTTAAATGATCGAAAGGAGGTAGTCATGAGGCAGAGGTGCTAACCAGCCTATCCTGTGTGGTTTGGAGGGCTAGAACCGGGACCAAGAGTTGGAAATTCTCCCCATCATCAAGTCCTTTTCTCCTTGGTTTTTACCTCTTCCCACCCCTGAGTTTGCTAGTTTCCCATTATAGCTTCCTTCACTCTCTACTCATGACCCACCAATACTTCACCTTTCAGAATTCTGCAATTCCGTCTCTATAAAAAAAAATTCAAGGAGACTTTGAGGCCTTATGACGTGAAGGATGTGATTGAGCAGTATTCCGCAGGACATCTCGACATGCTTTCCAGGATAAAGTACCTTCAGACGAGGTAAGACAGTCACATCTTGAAGGACTACGCTCTCCTCACCGCTAAGGAATCAAAGCCAGTTGAACCTTAGAGCTGAAGGTGAAAGGCATTCAGAAATAATCCACAATGCAAGGGAGAAATTTTAAGAACCAATACATTCATCAGACATGCTGGATGTCGAGGCCAACCGGCTCCAGATCAGACAGGCTGGGAGAAAGCTCTGTGACATTGACATGGCAAAGGTCAACACCCTGATCAGGCCTCATGGCGGGAAGGCAGATGGCCGACTGGCCGCTGGCTATGATCCTTTGGAGGTTGCCAACAAAATTGGAATCATCTAAACTGAGTCCAGCTGGCTAATTCTAAATATAAATTTTTCACCATATTAAAAAAAATGTGCATCGGATGTTATTTACAATAACAAAAATATGGACACAGCATCAATGTCCAACTGATAACTGCCACCATTTTTGTTGACCACCTGGGTGCTCTACCTGTATGTGTCTACTCCATGATAACCCTGTAAGGTGTGCCTTATAGGAGCCATTTTCCCGATGAGGAAACCAAAACTCAGAGGCCAAAGGACTTACCCCAAGTTACCCAGCGAGGTGGTGGCAGAGCTAGACGTCAAACAGGTCCCACTGGTCACAAGGTTCCTGTTCTAACAACCTACACCTCCTCAGCTATAAAGTGGGATCAAGAAAAGAATGGTACCTGCTCTCATTAAAAAGTTATGTATACATCAAATGACATTTACAAAATGTATATCATGAGATAAAAAAATTGTATGACCTGTGACTATATCCATAATATGATTGCTAATAATACACTCAGATATATAGTATATACAGACATATACATGTACGTACATATATATATATATATATACTTCTGTGTATGTGTGTATATATATATAATTAAAATTATATATACCGTATTTCCCCATGTATAAGACACACCCTTTTTTGAAAAATTTGGGGTCTAAAAACTGGGTGCGTCTTATACAGTGGTTGTAGATTTTTTTTACTTGCATTTCCTGCTTTTCTCATGCTTGTTTTTGTGCTCATACAATCGCTGTATAAGACGCACCCAGTTTTTAGACCCCAAATTTTTCGAGAAAGGGTGCATCTTATACATGGGGAAATACGGTATATTCTGCCTAGATCTTGTGATGACATTAACTAATATATATGTACAATATGACCACAGAAACAGACGCACATGCGTGTGCTCAGAAATACCACAACACACACACCCTCTCCCATATAGGGGTCCCAGAGCAATGGAGTAGGACTGGCCCCCAAACAATTACAGCAGCTATACTGAGATGATGAGTCCATGTCTGACTTTTTTTGTTAAATTTATTGAATCTTTAATGAATTGTAATACCTTTTTCAAAAGAAAAACCATGTAGAAAATAAAATATGCTGTCAGGAGTCACAGAACTGGTGTCAGGAAACCAAAGTCCTGTTTGAAGCTCATACTCTGACCTGTGTGAAATTTCAAATGGACGTGAGTCGGGCGTCTCCGGACCTCGGTCTCCTCATCTGAATATTTCCCCACTGGGGTGTCCTGCAAAGCTCCTAGGACCAGCACCCTCGATGAGTTGGAAGTTATTGATGCTGTTGGGTTAGAGGCATGCTTATTTGTGACCTTGCTTTTTCTGTAACTGGAATATCGACTGCGGCTGCCTAGCATAGGGGCAGGCACACCATCATGCTCAGTGCCTCCTTAACAGATGGATGTGTGAACGAGTTTAACGTGTTGTTATTTATGCAAATACGGCTCTCTGAGAGATGGAGGGAGCGTGCTGTCCAGGGCATACCCAGCTCCAAAATATTGGCCCATCTGAATGTAGAGGGAACCTTTACACTGTTGTTGTTTTTGAGATTCAGCTGGCAAATGTGTTTCCATGACTCATGGCTGAAGGCTGAGTGCTGGGATGATGATGGCATGTCCCCAACTACACTCATATTAGAGTGGGCCCGAGACAAAGGAGGGGTGACCTGGTACATGATGGTGTCGGTGGAGGAGCAGCGGCTTTGCCGAGACCCAGGGATCCATGGCCGCTTCTGGGTGCCTGGTCCTACCTGGGCCTGTGGTGAGTCCTCCAGGCTGCCTCCACACCCCGTCCCTGCCCCAGCCCTGCAGCTCCATGGGGACATTTGTCACCTGTTGTGCTCAGAGCTGCAGGGATGGGGAGCTGGGGCCTTATGCAGAAAAGGAAGCGGGGTATGGGAGCTAGTGTCAGATCTAACGAAGCCTCCGATGGCCACAGCAGCACAGAGCCTAGGGTTTAGCAGGGTTTCACTGCCTAACTAGATGTTTCGGGGAGGAATATGAGAGCTGGATAACCAGATAGGCTTGCAGCACAGGTGACATTTCCTATAGGAAATAAGGAGACTCGACCCTCGCCGGCCTCAGGGGCCTGGCTGCCTCTTTCTCCTCTGGGATGGGGAGATGTCCTCGGTACCACCAGACTGAAGAAAAAAGATACTGTATTGAGATTATAAATTCTCTTTCTCTCTGTCCCTCCCTCTTTTCCTCTCTCTGTCTCTGTTTTCCCTTCTCTTATATATTCCAAACCCATTCCTGACTAACGAGGGAAGAGAATACATGTTTTTCCTCTCTGCACAGGTAAAGCTCTTTGTGATTTAATCCCCCCCTTTGTGGTGTGTTCTCTTCCAGAATAGATATGATTTTCACCCCTGGACCACCGTCTACTCCAAAACATAAGAAGTCTCAGAAAGGGGCAGCGTTCACCTACCCGTCCCAGCAATCTCCCAGGTGGGGGCCTGTGGACATCGGCTGACAGGCTCAGTGTGGTTCCGTTATGGTTGGGTGAGGTCGCCAGTCCCCTAAATGAAATGGAGAGAAAGAGTTTGAAGCCTGTTCTGGTGTGTGACCATTTGAGTGGTTTCTGTGCAAAAGACTTACTGCCCCCTCTACCCAGACCATGTGGGTGACACACTTTTTGTGGTTAGTGAAAATGAAAATAATGATTTCCTTTTTATAAAATAAGTGAAGGTTTATGAGCTGTATGGGAACGGAAAGAATACTTCAGGTCAGCGGACGCAAGGCCTTCCTGGGCAGCTGTTTTGGCTTTATCGTGCATAGTCACCATGATTGACTGATTCTTCTCCCAGAATAAAACTGGAGAAGGGAATCAGATGTCAGGGCCCCCAAACATGGTAACAGGTAGAACTCTGTCCCTTGTCCCTGAGCACAGCAGCTCTGCTCTCCCCTCCCCCCTCCCAGCAAAATGTGGGGAAATGTTCCTTTTATAGGTCCTGATGCACAAGGAGCAGCTCTTTAGAAAGTGCACTGCCTGAATTTATACTTATTCATTCCCAAATGCCTTCAAGGCTGATAACATAAATGAGGAAAGGGAATCAGGCGGGAGAAATGTTGTGCACCTTCTAACAATCAGGCTCCTTATTACAAAGAAAACAAGGGTAGAAACAAGATGCTAAAGGCATTTAATCAACCTTCAGCATCACTCCTGGCACTGGGACAGGGAGTGGTGGACTGTGGGGCCCTAGAAGGCACGTGCCCCTCCAAAGGAGGTCCGTTCTTCTCTGGCTGATTTTAGGAATGAAGACCCTATTTCCAGATGGTCTAATTTTTCAAGAAAAGCTGAAGGTCCAGATTTTATATGAAATCCCCATTTTTTTAGATGGTGTCATTGTTTTTTAAACCCTGTGCAGGATAAGGAAAACACTGCTGGCTGGACTTAACACATGGGCCACCAGTGTTTTGACATCTGCTTTGATTCAAGACTGCTCACCCCTTCCCACCTCACCTCCCACAGACAGACCGGGGCGGTCTTAGCAGAAGCCAGCAGGACTTAGCAGAGAAAATCAAGTACCTAGGACGTGGCTGATGTTCATGGTTTGGAGCACTAGCTGGGCTCTCCTGACAGTGCCTTTCTGCACAGACGGTCATAGTATTGAAACTAACGGGAATTTAGGTCGATGTCACCTGTGTGCATAGGTAAAGAGCAAAGGTCCGCACACACCTCAGCCCCATTCTCACCAGCTTACCTTTCGCATCATTTTCTAGATTCAGCATCTGTTTTCCACTATTAACAAAATGGAGCAGAGGAACTACTGATACTGTATAGAATTTCAGAGATTAGGCAGCCTCTTCCCCACACCCCACCCTGCACATGCAACCAATAGCCTGGGACTGAAGCCTGACTATGAGAAGGATGGCTCCTGGGACCTTGGCCCGCTGAGCTGAAGCGACCTTGCAAAGCAGAAATAGACAACAACAATCTTACAGAACTGTTGGCTCTTTCCTAGGAATGAACCGTATGTCGCCAGAGCATCCACATCAGAAACTGAAGACCAAAGCATGATGGGGAAGTTTGTGAAAGTCGAAAGACAGGTAAGTCTTTCCTTTCCCTCACCCACAAACAAGTATATACAATTTATTTTCAAATGTAATTTTTCCCCCCATAGGGCGATATGGAGTGATCTACCATTCCAAAAAGGATGTGGAAATTAAAATCCCCGATTTAGCATTCCCTGGCTGGGTGATCATATGTAGGTTAATGACTTGGCCTGAGCCTCAGTGTCCTTATCTGTAAAGTGGGAGATTTTAATACCCCATAAGGTTGCTGTGACAATCAAATGAGTTGATACATGTAAATTACCTAGTATAGGATCTGGCATACAGGAAGCACTCAAAAAATGGTAGCTACTATTTTCATGTGCTCCATGGTATCACCCCAAGAAATGTTAGTTCCATTCCCATCATTTCCTGTGTCCTTATCCCTCCTTCTGTCCAAGCCCAGGCCAGTGTGTGGCCAGTGTGAAGAGGCCTGAAGGCTATTCATTCACAGTGAATGGTTGCTCACCTCTCATGTCCACGGTATATAAAGCTTACCCTTTAGCCTGATTTGCCGAACATTATAGTAGATAAATAGCACTGTCAGTTTCCTTTAGGATTGCTATCAATCCTTTTATTTTATTCATAACCCAAAATTGGATCTATGCCGGAGAAGACAGAGGAAATTTGAATGATTATTCTCTTTTGGCATATCAAGAATATCGTTTTTCATTTTTAAATTTTAATTTACATATTTTTTTTAAAATCTAGCTCATCCATTTACCAGCTCTGGGACTTTTGACAAGTTCCTTCATCTCTTGGTGCCTCTGTTTCCTCACCTGCAAAGTAGAGAATAATAGTGTTCACCTGATAGGGCCGTGAAAATTAAATGAGTTATATCTTTAAAGTGCATAAAACCGAGTCAGATACTTACTAACTGCTCTGTAAGTATCAGTTACTAAGAATGCTTGGGTACCATCTTAGCCTTTACCTGGATCTATGCTTTGTATCATCTGGAAAAGGGGATGATATACCTGCCCGCGGTGCTTCCTGGTGAGTATGACTTGTCAGGGAGAGAGCATCATACACGTGCACACCTGCACACTTGTGTATATGCACTCACAAATAGCAAATAAGTTCCCCGTTTGATCTGTAGGAGTATATGGCAGCCCGTCTCAGGGTAGCTCCCACTGGCCTCCAAGGCTCCTCGGTAGGGTGTCCCGTTCTGAGAAGCTTGATTCTTGCTAACCACTGCCCTGCATCTTTGGGGCTTCCATCACCACATAGGAGAAACAGACACTTAGCCCACATGCTTCTGTCTAAGGGGATGTGTGCAATCGGTCTAAGGGGACGTGTGCAATCTGTCCCAGGGGACGTGTGCAATCTGTCCAAGGGGACGTGTGCAATCTGTCCAAGGGGACGTGTGCAATCGGTCTAAGGGGACGTGTGCAATCTGTTTAAGGGGATGTGTGCAAATCAAGACCTCCCGCTCCTTAACCCACACCACCGGCAGCAAGGCCACCTCCTCCTCCGGGAACAAGGAAGGCCTCTAACGCTTCTCCTCCAACTGTCTCTCTGCTTCCAGCCTCAGCTCAGGTTGCCTATGTTGTTTCTAGATTCGCACTAATACGTGCGCAGGGCTTGGAATTAGGAGGCATGAGATCATTAGCTACTGCTGCAACGAGGTCATGTCAGAGCTCTCTTCCCTTCTGAGGCGCAAACGCGGACAACAGCTACGCCACCCCCAGAGACAGCAGTGATCCCCCCTCCCTTGTGTTTTCCAGGTCCATGACATGGGGAAGAAACTGGATTTCCTCGTGGACATGCACACACAGCACATGGAGCGGATGCGGGTGCACGTCACGGACTACTTCCCAGCCAAGGGGACCCCCTCCCCGGCCGAGGTGGATGAGAAAGAGAACCTGCAAACCCTTGTTTGCAACTACTCTGAGACAGGCGGCCCTGAGCCCCCCTACAGCTTCCACCAGGTGCCCATTGACAAAGTCGGCCCCTATGGGTTCTTTGCCCACGACCCAGCGAACCCGCCCCGAGGGGGACCCAGTTCCGGAAAGGTTCAAGTGACCCTTTCGTCCTCGACAGCACCGTATATGGAAAGGCCCACCATCCTGCCTATCTTGACTCTTCTCGACTCCCGAGTGAGCTACCAGTCCCAGGTGGAACTGCACGGGCCCTGCTCGGACTGGGCCTCCCCTCGGCAGAGACCAAGCGTCACGAGGGACAGCGACACACCGCTGTCCCTGATGTCCGTTAACCACGAGGAGCTGGAACGGTCTCCGAGCGGCTTCAGCATCTCCCAAGACCGGGACGATGTGTTTGGCCCAAATGGGGGCTCGAGCTGGATGAGGGAGAAACGGTACCTCGCTGAGGGTGAGACAGACACGGACACAGACCCCTTCACCCCCAGTGGCTCCATGCCTCTGTCCTCCACAGGGGACGGGATTTCTGATTCGATATGGACCCCTTCCAACAAGCCCATTTAAAAGGGGTCATGGGCTGACCCTCCTTGTAATGTAGACAGACTTTGTATAGCTCACTTGCCCTCACGCCCGACACTTAACCAGTGAGATCACCAATGGCTGCATTGAACGCATGCATGTGCGTGGTGGCCCCACACCCAGGCAGGGGCTTGTCATGGCCTTTTCCTCCCCATGTCACCACAACGAAGCCGCTTCCTTTTCAGCATGGTTTGCATGACTTTCCACTATATAAATGGTACTGCTAATCTTCTCTAGGGTACGCATTTACCTGCTGTTCTTACTTTTAATCATGATTGGACCAGTACAGGGAGAAATTATCGATGAATTGTGCTCTTTGTCTGTTCAGTCGGTCGGTTTGGGTTTTGGTTTGGTTAAGCAGGGAAAGTAATTTATTTCTCAGATCACCGCCCCTTTGTGTAAAACCACTCCACTGATTGATTAACTATTTTCTAAGGCAAGTGAATAATTTTCTCTCCAAAAATGCATTGTGTAACTGTGAGGTGGCCGTCTGAGCTAAAATGTCAGGAAAGGAGTGAGAGCGTCATCACATCTCCAAAACCAAAAATTTTAAAAATTACTAATTAGAAAAAACTGGCAAAACCTTCTAAAAGCTCTTAAAGAGACCCCCCCCCTGCCCCCTTAGTCTGCCATTGTCTGGTATCATGCCTTGGTTTCCTTATCTGTAAAAAATGGTTGTAGTCCCAAGTGTAGCATTTCAGATGAGTTATGAATTGGCTGGAAGAAAACACACACACACACTCTCTCACTCACACATAAGTTAAAGTAGTTCCCAATTTATGTAGCCAAAGATGGTGACATTGACCAGAAGTAGGGTGCCCCTCTGGGCAGCAGCTAAGTTCAGTGCCTTCAAAATAAGGTTCCAACTCATAGTCCTCCCCATGGTACTTGTACACAATATCCGTCTCACATAGAAGTTAGAGTCAGGAGGCACAGAAACTACCTGGTCTACAGCCTTCTTTGTAAAACGGGGACACCTTTGGCTCAAGTAAAGAGCTGTGTCCAGCTGGGGTCATTCCATTGACCCCTGGCAAGCTGAGACTCAAAGCCCAGTCAGCTGACTCCCTTCATTCCCCGGGCCCCTCTGACCACACCACTCTGCCCTTTGCACAATGGGACCCAGAGAGCGCCAAGATACCAGTACTCTGTGTCGTGTGGACAGTACTTAGCACCCAGTTTATCCAGCAGGAGGGGGATGTCTGCTTTCATTGCAATACAAGCTTACTGATGCATTTAGGACCCAGAAAAAAAAAATAACACAAGTAAGCGACAACATTTATTCATAGGCAAATGGGCAAAATTTCCAGAACCATCCATTTTTACTCCTCTAGATTTTTTAAACCACATGTCACCAATAAGGCTAGATGAAGTGTAAGCATGCAGTCTGGAGAACGCTGCCCAACTGTATAAGTATTACTATGAAGCCCAAGTTTAATAAGCTGTGGCCTCTGAGGAGATGCCGCTACTCTCTGAAACATGTTGATATTAAAAGGTTCTGTTAGATTTGAGCTGAATTAGCTAAATGACTATGCCACAGTATTATTGTCTCACCCTTTTTACACATCTGTTAGGCGCTGGTTGTGCATAGTCGCCATGGTGACCATCAAGCTGATCGAAATGACCTAAATGAATATCTACTTGCAAGTGTCACATGCGTTCTCCCTCACAGTCTTGTCAAGAGCCGTCATACCTGTGGCAGACATCTGGTTAATGGTTTCATCATTACCTAATGCAGTGGTCTTGCACTAACTATATTGGAGAGAGGAACTGCTTCCTCAAAGTTTGGGTCCTTTCAACCTGTGTGTCAAGAGGTACCGTGCAAAAGGCTTAGAGTACAGTAATAATGAGGAGTTGGTACCTGACTTTAGGAATTTACAACCAAAGTCTGGAGTCCCTGGCCAAGGGCAGGCACTGTGAGAGGCAGAAAGGAAGTTTTAGATGGAGAGTGCCACGTAGGGATGAGTGTTGACCTTGAAGTCTGAGGAGGGAAGTACACAAGAATGATCACACACATCAGACATAAAAGCCCCTCCCCTATGGTTTGCCTCTTGAACCTTCCAGCAATGAAGGGCAAAGGGCATGGCTCATTTGTCCTCCCCTCAACTCCAGAAAGTGCCAATGGAGTTGGTGACCTAAGAACCTCTGTGCCCCTTCGTTAGGGCTTGGTTCTTAATTCTGACCTTCCTGGAATCTTTCACCAGAAATGATTAAGCCACCCACCATCTAACATCTTACTATGTTATAGTATATCTATATGGGTTATTTGAAACAAAACCAAAAAAAGGAAAATGAATCAAACTCTCCACATATGCATCAATTATTTAACTTGTTAAAATTCTTGCAGAACCTACTGGCCTCCGTGTCTTCATAGAGGCATTTGCCTGGAACTCAGTGGAGTTCTCAGCTGGAACAGTGAGACTTTCTCATCCTCAGGTTAAAATTAGTCACCATGGATCCAAAGTTAGAGGGCTGACTGCATTAGGTTCTTTTAATAACCTACAAAGGATGAGAGCTTGTGTTATTTCCCAGATCATAGGAGGACAGGCTCACTTCCCTGCTGGATCATAAGGCCACGGTGGCCGGGACTGTGTTTGTATTCCTTGCCAGCATGTCTCCAACACGGAGCAAGTGGTCATTATCAGTGCCAAGACAAAATACGTTTTTCATGAATGAATCAATGATAAAACTTAAAATCCATTGTTTCCCATCTAAGAGAAGAGAAAAATGGTCTTCTGGAATATTTTGCTTTGCTATCTCCCTTAAAAAAAAAAAACATTCCCAAAAAGAAAAAAATAATGCATTCCAGAAAAGGAAACCAAACCTGTTCAAGTTGTCTCAACATCGTCAACATGGCTGGCACTGATGAGGCAGAAATTCAAGGTCTAGGATTAAAGATAAGTTATGGGGAGAAACAGTGTGTGCTTCCACAAAGATCTTTTTGTCAGACAGAAGGACAGCATGATGGAATAATCCTACAGAGTTGGTTAATAATGTGGCCCAAGATTATACTATTTCAGAGATACCAGGAAGCTCACCCAGGAAATTGCAGTTTTGACAGAATCCTGTAAAATCAATTCCATAAAAACTAGGCATGCTTTTCCCAAGGGAAATGATGCTCCCATTATATGTATTCAGTATCTGTGTATCACAATATGATATAAGAAAATTTTAAGAGGTCATGTTTCAGCAGGATCAAAATGAATGAGATAAATATACTTTCCAAACGTTAGGAGGTAAAAGGTTATCCTTACTTGGGCTGAGAAGAAAGTACCTGAGATCAAGTGTGAGTCCTGACTATCAAATACCAGCACACAAGCAAACACAAAAAGTTTAAGAAAAAAAAATGTAAGAGAAAAAGAAAAAAAAAACCCACATCAAATTGAGACAGTTCTAATTCACTAACTGTACTTTTTCTGGGAACTGAGAGCTTAGAATGATTAGACATGACATTGATGTTATGAAGCTCTAGTTTTCATAAAAACATATCTAGAAAACTTCAAGGTATACAATAGTTGAAAATTAGCTAATTAACCAACAATTATGCATTATGACTTGCCTGTTGTATGTAAGACTCCTCCTGGACAATGTAAGTTGAAGAAATAATTACTTGTAGAAAATCCTAATAGAACAGGATCTACTCATAATTTGCCAAGACCATTCTCACAAGTCAATTCTACTCTAATGACAGTGTAATAAAAAAATTTGTTTATTCATTTACTAGTTTATTAAGCTGTCTGTTAGGTACTGTACCATGCACTAAAATTTCAGTTAAGAAAACCACAGCTCCTGCCATCAAAAATCTGGTGGCCTCAAATATCAGAGGTCCCTTCAAACTATGTCTATCAAGGAATGGCAAGTGTCTGATTTCACCTCTGAAGACAGCTATACAGACAGCAATGCTTCTTAGCTTGGCATCATTGAGAGACTGAACATGCAGTAAAGGGAGAGTAAAAAATTCTGCATCAAAACTGATAACCCCATCAGCCCAGGGAAGACTGAGTGGGTTGAATGGGGACTCTGAGTTTGGGTTCAATGCTTTGGATTTTATAGCTCCAGATAAGCTGTTCGAGAAGGAGGTCCTGGAGTTTCTGGGGAAGGCTCTTGGGGAAAAAAAATAGATTTCTCCTCTTCTCTAAACCCCTGCTAGGCTTGGGTTCAGGCAAGGAGCTGAGCTACTTCCCTTTCATCACGTGACTAAGAGAGGCTTATGGCACAGGCCAAGACAGCATCTATTTCAAGAGAAGGGTGTGACTCTGCCTGTGGGATCTGCTGATCGAATTATTCTGGGGCAAGAGAAGTCCATCCAGGGCTCAAAGAAGGCGACTGGACAGAGCTGCAGCATAGCTGGTCTTTGTTTTCCATGCATGTGCCTCCAAGGCACCTAGGACCACAAGGACTTCCCTTGCTTTCTGAACCCCAGGCACCTTAGGAGTTTACCCCAGGTCTTTACTTGTCCCTGAAGACATGTTTATTTCAGGATGAACTTTTCAAACGACTGTAAGACCGTTTTGTTTTGTTTTGTTTTGTTTCCAAATCAACCCATAGCTCTTGTGTGATTGGCATTACACTATTCAAAACCGAGTCAGGAGTACCCTAAACAAGGCAGCAGGTATCGGCTCACTGATGCTCAGGTTAGAACACGTGAGGAAGCAGGCTACCTGCATAGCTTCAGTGGTTTTGGAAACCAGTGATGAAAATGTCAAAGAATTAAGAAGGATATAAAGGTGACCTGGATAAACTGGAGTTTCAGGACATTCAAAAGTGCTTGATTTTCTGGCCTGTTTTTATTTTTAAATGAGACAATCAATATATATATATATATATAAAGTTCCTAGTACAGTGATGGCCATATACTGGGGACTGTTACACATACTCCTTTTTTACAGTATGTGTGGACTCCATTGTCTCAATCTTTGGTATTACTTATGAACTCTAAATTTACACTAGAAAAATCTTTTTGCAGAAAAAGAGTGGTGGAGACACAATCCCAATTAGTACATAACAAAATCGGGCACTTTTACAATTGTTTTTGAAATAAACACATCTGTACAAATTAAAATGCTTACTTTTTTATTGAAACGAGGAAAAGCAGGAATGTTGGAGTGAAGAGAGCAAGACCGTTGGATCCCAGGGGGCTGGGCTGTGACAGTTTCATTGGACATACAATACCAGATATTGCACCATTCTCTCAGAGGATGCTTTGTAAAGCCAAGTAGCAGGAATAATTTGGTACAAAGGAGCTAGTGGTTTCAAGGAGGAAAATCCACCAGGCCATGCTGTCTGTCAGACAACATCCTAACAACGAATGGAGGACTTCCAGAAGAAAGGTTCAAGCCTGCTCCAGCCTTCCCTAGGGAATTTAGTCCCAGCCTTTACAGCGTCAACTTCAGCATCCATGGAGACTTGCCTTTTGCTTTATTAGTGTAGATGCAGGGAGATATAAACTCACAGACTCTTAGATGCTCAGAGCAAGAAGAGACCTAATCATCCAGAGCAATCCCCTCTCTTTTTAGATCAGGAAGCCGAGGCTCAAGAGAAGAGAAGCGTACTCAATGATTGAGAGGGTGATTAGGTAGCAGAGTGAGTTGAGAACCCAAGTCTCCTAGCTCCTGGTCCAGGTGTTGGGGATCAAAAACTAAAAGTAAAATACCCAGTGAGAATCAAGTATTGTGATTGAGCCCAGGAGATGAAGGAGAACTTCCTGGCCACTCGAGAACTGTTGAACCGGACACATTGGTTGGGACTTCTCTGGAATGTGAGTGATGACCCCGGGCTTGGAAAGATAATAACATCCCTTCTTCCCCTCCCCCCTTCCCCTCCTCTGATCTCCCCTACTTTGTCTCCTCTTTGTCCTGCCAAGCGTGGACTGGTTCAGCTCTTTAGCCCATTTCTTGGACTCACTGAGGCCCAGAATCATGCTTTGCATGTACCCTCATCTATAAGCCAATTTAGCAGAACTTTTCTTTGAAAAAAGTTTATGGGTTTGATTTTAGGAAGTAGGATGTGATTTCTCTTGAGATCTGTATGACCCCAAGTTTCCAGTTCTACTAAAGGTGTCCCTTTGTGCTGTCATCTCTGGGTCTCACCTGAGCACAGCCTGGTTCCTCCTGCTTTGTCCCATTTTGGAGAATGCCCATTTTGGCCAGGTCACAACCAGGTCACTAGGTTCTTCACCAAAAGCTACGAAGAAGCAAACAGGATTCAGCCTAAGACATTTTACTTACATTGCTCTTGGAGTAGGTTAGCCCGAACCTGGCAGGCTCCACAATAGCCCTTGTTAAACCCAGTAGCAGAAAGTTCAGTTCTCCTGAATCTGACTGAACCAGAAGTTCCTAAGACTTAATAAAGGTGGTCAAGTTCTCGGATGGCAATAGTTGACCCACTGACTTTTAAAGACTGTCATTCCACCTAAGTCTTCTTAGCCCCCACGTAGCACTGTTCTTAAAGTAACTTTCAGTGGGAAGTAAGTCAAAATAGGCTCTATATAAGAATAACCTGAATGTCGGTCAAAAGCCTAGCCCAGTGCTTAAGAATATATTTGTCATTCCTCTTAGACTTGTCAAGTGAACTGCAATTTGATGCCTAAGAGTAATGAAAACTGACAGAGTGTTTTCTTTCAATGTTCCATTCTCCTCCTCTGCCCACAAGATGGAAGCCAGGAGGAGAAACTGACTCTGAGCTCTCTTTATGAGTTGCATGTGACATGATAGTTCTGTCTCTTGACTTGATGCAGTCCTCGTCGCAACCGCACGAGGGAAGTGTATTGTCTGCATCTTATAGATGAGGAGGAACAAGCAGAGAGGGAAAATGCCTTGCCAAAGGCCACTCATTATCAGAAGTAGAGCTGGGATCATAACCAAAGCACGTGTACCTCCAAGGTTCATTCTGCCCCCACCCCCAAGTTCCCCGGGTCAATGGAAAATGCTCCCAAATTGTGCCCTGTGGCCCTCCACCATGCCTTGCCCACATCTTCCCAGTCAGCTTTATAGTAAAATAACCACAGGCCCATTGGTTCCCTGGAGAACGGAGCGAGTCTTGCACCAGCTGCGCCCAGTTAGCTATTTGGTGAGTCCTGCCTGTTCCTTTGGGTGGTTTCACAATCCAGCTGTCAGTGGCAGAAAAGAATGCCACATAAATTATTCATCTGATTCTTGCTGGGATCCATTAGCTTTGGAGTTTGGTGTAGCTGCAGATAATCCCATAAGTGCCCCTTGTTCTTGGCCCCCGAGGATCTCCTGTCATTGTTTTAACAGAACAAGTTCAAATAATGTTCCTCCTGACTGGTCTTTTGTCTCTAGACTGTACCTTTATTTCAGGTCTTTGAAACCCTGCAGAAACAGGTGAGTCTTCAGAAACGCTCTTTGGGAGGCCAAATACACAGAACAGTTGTGTTTCTCTCTCTTGATATTAAAAGATCAAGGTTCCCAGTGGAAGCCAACCTGATCTGGTAAAGGGCCCTTTTTTCCCCTCTTAATACTTTTTCAACGGAGGAAGGAAAAGCAGCTCCACCCTCCAAGTTCCTGTGACAAGGGTTAAGTAAGTTCCTGGGAGGCCAAGTTCCAAGACTGGTGGCAGCCGTTTTGTCCAGCGTCAGAGATTTTGCTGCTGGAGACGTGAGGCAGGCTCTGCTCCATCTTGAAAGTCACCTTAGAAAAGATGGGCCAGCGTCACCAAATTTGTCGATCATTCCCTGTGTAAAAGAGAAAAGCGCTCTCTACATTGCTTCTAACCGGATATGCTATTTTCTTCTTCTTCTTCTTCTTTTTTTTTTTTCTCTTTCTAATGTAGCGGTGATGGAAAACACCAAACTCTGAAGAGCAAATTTCCAAGGACACAAATCCATTGTGTTTGATTTTGGACTGTATTTTCTTTAACCCCCTTTTACAGCATAGAATCCTGGTGCCTTGCTCCCTGAATTTGTCTCCATGCTACACGTAGGCTTTCTTCACATTCTGGCTTACATGGGAACACAATTATTCCACAAGTGGCCTTTAGTGCTCTTTATAATATCATTTCCTGTAATTTTTAAACGGTATGTGTAATTTATATTCTGCCTCTGTCCAATATTTGAACTTTAATAGGTTGATTTCCATATACCTTATGCAAATAATTCTTACCTGATTTTTTATGTTCTATCTTTAAAAAAATAAATGTACAACTTATTAATAAATAGACATTTCAATGATTATGTGGCAGAATGTTATTTGCTTTGTTGATGACATGGAGTGACAAGTAAAGAGTTTGTTATTGGTTGCTGGAGGGGGTGATAGGAGAGACGAGTATATTTGTAAGATGTGAGAAAGGAAACAGTTGAGAGGGAGAGAATAAAGACACAAGAAAGCAAATGTAATTGATGGCATTAAGATCCAGAGGAAGAAAAGAGCCAAATGCAAAAGTAAAGCTCAGGGCCAGCAGAGTGGTGTGTTGATTAAGAGTTGGCTTGGGATGCCAGCTCTGAGCAGCAGGGCCCCGGTTCAGATCCCACATGAGGGCCAGTGACGCTGCGCCCTCTACAGCTAAGATGGTGAACAACAGCTCCTCCTGGAGTTGGGCTGCCAAGAGTCACTGGCAACGGCATAGGCTGCAGTTGGGCTGGCCGGCAGCAGACCGTGAGCGTGAGCTTTTGTGAGCTGCTGGGAGATGCCGTCCAATGGCCAGTGAGCAACTGCCTTAGCCGGGAAGAGCGCAATGATAATACCAACATGGGCCAGTGAAGCGAAGTCCTCCACAACTAGACAGAAGAACAAAAGCACAGCAACTTGTCTGTTCCCCTTCCCCGATTCCCCAACGCTGTTCCCTCCCCCGATTTCCCAATAAAATCTTTTAAAAAAAAAAAGTAAAGCTCATAGTCATGAAGTGTTTGATGTCGATTGCACATTTCCTTGGAAACAGTCACTACACAGGCTGTGCAGATATAGAGCTAGTAAAACATTATCCAATCATTACAATGTTAAGGCATCATCACTCCCACTTTATAGATGAGGAAATCAAGGCCCAGAAACATAAAAAGACCTGGGCAACATCAGAAACTCTTAAGTGGAACTCACAAAGAGAACCCAGGACCACCTGCCCTCAAGACTCATGTTACTTCCTTTGGAGAAGCTTCACATCCTAAACCATGTGAGAGGAAGAAAGAATGGGTGACTCAGAGGGACCGTGAGTCAATGGGAAGGAAGTTAGTAAAGCTTATTAAAGTGCCTCTGTCTGTCATCAGTGTCGGAGGAAGGGATGTGTTGTCATGAGAAAGAGGGAGGTGGGGTGGGGAACCTCAGAGAGCTGCTTAGGCTTTTGTCGTGCCTTAATTTACCATCTGTCATGTAGGGAGGATACTATTGGCCTTTAAAGGTCATTATCTGGATTGATGTATGTAGAGAGACTAGCAAAGGATCTAGCACACAGCAAATGTTCAATGAGTGGCAGCTTTGACTCTGTCCTGTGCCCACATGCCACGCTGCCCTAATTCGGTTTCCACAAGAATGGAGACAAGAGGTTGGGTATGCATAGTTCCTTTGGAAAATGATCCCAGGAAATACAACTGAGAGAGCAAGAGAGTGGAACAAGGAAGGAGAAAAGCCGATAAAGAGTGAGTGAGCTGAGCCTAGTGGGTGACTGGGCACAATGCCACCAGGAACCCTCTAAGAACCCACGTAAATGCACCAAAGAATTGTTCTACCTTGGCCCCAGAATCAACCGTTCCTCTGCTGATTCCTGCTCTCCTTGGGATGAAGGTTGCCTCTGGGGCTTTAAATGCCCTGCTCTGTCGGGCTTTCCTGACAACTAAACAAGCCCCAAGGCACCAAAGCCCTTAGGCAGAGGAGCAGAAAGATATGGCCAATGGGGGTGGAGAGCTGTCAGAGTGCTGGGACCTGCCTACTGCAACTGCAGGTGAACTCAGAGGTGGGCAGAGAGCATACAGGGTGGGCCACCATCATCTGACACATAAGCCCACTTAAAAACCCTACATGCACGAAGGTAAACAACAACTCATCCAAGTTGTCACTATTCACCCTGTAGGTCAAAGGACAAAGTTAGCCAGCCCTGGGCAGGCTGGTCATGATGCCCATGGACACCGGAGCAGATAACTGCTCTTCTGATACAAGGTCACCATCCAGCTCCAAGGTCACACATGTCATCACGAAAGCCTGTAACTTGGCAGTTATGAGAGCATCAGCTCTGCAACCATCTATCCCTCCCCCAACAAAACTTACCCTCCTTCAGTCTCTGCGTGACAGACAGAGAAAGAGCTTAAAAATTATATCCCTGAGAAAATCCCTTGCCATCTGCATAAATGGAGCAAAAGCCCATTCATATCCTCGCATCCCAATTACTCCTGGGAACAGTTATTGTTCCTAATAATGTCAGCTTCCAACAATGAGCTAGGGCATCCAGTTGACCTGGGACCCAGTGGCTTCCCCACACTGAAGACGTGTAAGGTGTCTCCCCTGAGGAAAGCCTAATTGTCCTTGTATCCTGACTCCACATCCAATGTGGAAACGTTCCCAACAGTTTATCTTCTGGTCCTGGGCAGGTCAGCCTCGGGCCAGTGGAGTTAATAGAGAGAAGAGTAAGAGAGAAAATTAGAGAAGTAACAGGGCCAGGTCATGAAGGGCCTCGGGGCATTATCAGGACATTTGCTTTTATGCTGAGTCAGTCCGGAAGTCACTGCAAGGGTTTGAGTCTGATTTATGCTAAAAAGGGGTTCCCTGGCTTCTGTATTGAGAACATGCAAGGGACAGATGAAGCAGAGAGGTTGGTCAGGAGCAATATTGCTACTGGCAAACCTATAGACATGAAAAGTAGTCACCTTGGTCACCTGGGGCTGGGGTGGGGTAGTGGGAGGATTACCTGTAAATGGGCCCAAAGAATCTTACTGGGTGGCAAAAATGTTCCAAAACTAGATTGTGGTGGTGGTTGTGTGCAACTTGTTAAATTTACTACAAGTTATTATTGAACTGTACACTTAAAATGGGTGAGTTTAATAGTATATAAATTATACCTCAACAAACTTGTTTAGAAAAAGATCGCTATGGCTGATATAAGGGCAATTTATTCATAGAAGCAATTGTTATAGATAGCAGGTGACAAGTTAGCAGGAATTCCAGTAGCTCAGACAAGAAAGATCGACCTTGAACTTGGGTGGTACAAGCACAAGGAATCTGACTGTGTCAGTTTTTCTAGGCCAGAGATTGGCAAACTTTTTCTGTGAAGCGCCAGATAATAAATATTTCAGGCTTTGGGGGCCGCATGTCACAATCACTCAACCTTGTCTCCATCACACAAACACAGCCTTGCAGAGTATGTAAATGAAGGAGCGTGGCAATGTTCCAATAAAACTTTATTTGTGGACGTTGAAATTTCCTATCATTTTAATATGTTATGAAATACTCTTCTTTTTTAAATATTTTTTTCAACCCTTTAAAAATGGAAAACTATTTTAGTCCTTATAAAACAGGGCTGGGCTTGCCTACCCTGCTCCAAGCACCTGCTGAAAATGACGAGCAGGGGCCTCACCATTTGTTCAGAAGACTTCCGACGACCTGCATGCCAGGTGATGCTTGGCTCACAGACCTTTACAACAGGAAGGGGAAATCATCACCTAGTGATCCTGTTCTGTTCCTTCAATACACATAATTACTGTCAGAAGAGATTTCCCATCCCACGCTGAATCGCTGCTTTGTCATTCAGCTCACGGATTCTATTCAGCCCATAGCCCAGGCCTGTTTCTCCAGTGATGTTGATCCTATTTCACTGTCTGGAGTTCTTGGTAGGATTATTATTCCTTTTTTTTTTTGCCCCCAGAGGATTTCAAGCAAAGTTATCAAGTCTTTTCCCACCCCCACCCTCTGTATCTTTCACTAAGAACTCATATAAACCCCACAGCTCTGACTTAGCTATTAATCTTTCTGGCTGCTTAAACTCTTGGAAGTCATTTATCCCGCTCAGGATACGGGTAAGTCATATATTGGCGACATTTTAAAACCCTCTGGTTTCCTCTCCTCCCCAAAGAAGGAAGCCAGTTAAGGAATGCATCCACTAGCATTCCCAAGCGTTGGGCTCCTGCATGCTGAAAGAGATGAGTAGAAGGGTGTTTTTATCACCCAATAGCTACATTGCACTTAAACTAAACTCCACCCCTTGGTCACAGTCTGGTTTTTTAAAATTTTTTTAAAGATTTTTAAAATTAAAATACAGCTAACATACAATATTATAATAGTTTCAGGTGTACATCATAGTTATTCAACAGTACCCACCTAGCTCTATACAGTGTTATTACCACATTATTGATTTTATTCCTTAAAGAAGTGATCAGTATGATAAATTCGGCAATCATCTGACACTGTACCACGCTATAACAATATTATTGATCTTTTCCCCCCTTTATAAATTTTTCAATTAGAGTTGATATTCAATATTATTTTATATTAGTTTCAAGTGTATAGCTTAGTGGTTAGATATTTATATAATTTAGGAAGTGATCCCCCTGACTAGTACCACCTGGCACTATACATAGTTGTTACAATTATCATTGGCTATACTTCTTATGCTGTACTTTACATCCCCATGACTACTGTGTAACAACCAATTTGTACTTCTTAATCCCTTCTCCTTTCCACCCATTCCTAACCCCTGTTCCATCTTAAAGAAGTCCCTCTAAGATTTCTTGTAATACCGGTTTGGTGGTGATGAACTCCTTTAGCTTTTTCTTTATGTACCTTTTGATTATAAATGGTAGACTTGCTGGGTAGAGTAATCTTATAGGTCCTTGCTTTTCATCACTTTGAATATTTCCTGCCAATCCCTTTTGGCCTGCAAAGTTTCTGTTGAGAAATAAACTGGCAGTCTTATGGGCGCTCCCTTGTAAGTTAGCTACTGCTTTTCTCTTGCTGCTTTTAAGAGTCTCTCTTTGCCTTTAAGCTTTGGCATTTTAATTATGGATGTGTTTTGGTGTTGGCCTCTTTGAGTTCATCTTGTTTGGGACTCTGTGCTATTCAGGCTGGGATATCTACTTCCTTCGCCAGGTTAGGGAAGTTTCCTGTCATTATTTCTTCGAATAGGTTGTCAATTCCTTGCTCTCTCTCTCTTCTCCTTCTGGTACCCCTATAATGCAAACGTTGGTATGCGTGATGCTATCCCAGAGGCCGCTTAAACTCTTCTCAATTTTTTGGATTCTTTTTTCTTTTCGCTGTCCTGGTTGGGTGTTTTCTGCTCCCTTATTTTCTACATCGTTGGTTTGGTCCTGTATTTCATTTAATCTACTGTTGATCCCCTGTAATATGTTCTTCATTTCCATTATTGTATTCTTTATTTCTGACTGGTTCTTTTTTATGTTTTCTGTCTCCATTTTTATGTTTCCTATCTCTTTGTTGAAGTTCTCCTTGAGATCGGTGAACATCCTTATAACCACTGTTTGGAACTCTGCGTCTGAGAGATTGGTTGTCTCCATTTTGTTTAGTTCTTTTTCTGGAGCTTTGTTTTGTTCTTTTATTTGGAACATGTTTCTTTGTCTCCCCATTTTGGCTGCCTCCCTGTGTTTGTTTCTATGGATTAGGTAGGGCTGCTATGTCTTCCAGTCTTGGTAGAGTGGCCTTATGTCGTAGGTGTGCTGTGGGGTTCAGTGGCACAGTCTTTCTGATCACCTGAGCCATGTACTGCAGGTGTGCCCCTTGTGTGGGTTGTGTGTGCCCTCCTCTTGTAGATGAGCCTTGGTTGATCACTGCACATCAATGGGAGGGACTGACTCTTGGACTCACTGGTTGAGAGGACTGTCCTTGACTACAGTGGAAGAGTTGTTTGCAGGGGCTGACCCTACAGAGCAGGATCTGCCTCAGCAAGACTCTAGTGCCTGCCCGATCTGCCCCTTGGGTGTGTCATTCTTGGAGGTGGTTGGATGATGCTTCAGCCACCACTGGGGATTCCAGACCCAGGACCACCTTGGAGGGGATCTGCTATAGGTCAGGTTCAGCCACAGTCCATGCTTCACCCGGGGCTACCCGTGCCTCAAAGAAACCCGCAGATAGCTGCCACCCGTGCCGTGCTTGGATGTGCCTTGGGAGGCCAAGCCACAAACCAAGGTTGGCTGCCACTAGTGCCAAGCTTAGGGCTGCTCAGCCAGAGGTACAGAACGTGCTCAAGCCAGATGCTGCTTGTCTGGGTTCTAGAACCTTTGAGAAACCCTAAAAAAGTCTGCAGCATGAATCAAGACAGGCAGCTTGTACAAAAAAGCCACTGGAAACAGCTTGGGTGTGCCGAAAGTTGGGTGAGCAGGGTCTTCAATTGCCAGGGCGTGGCCAATGAATGGTGGAGACTCAGATATGGCGGCTGCCTGTGTCTACCCACCGGGAAGGGGGAGGGCTCAACAAAGAAACAATAGCCTCCACCAGCTCCTCTGTCCAGGAGAAAGCCACCTGTCCAGCCCCGTTCTAAGCCAGACAACTCAGTTCCCCACCATATGTACCTGCCACCTTTCCAGCTGCTGCCCCAGTGCTGCAGCTCCGAGTGAGTGATTCCATTGGTGGGTAAGTCCTTGTGCGGTCCCTTTAAGAGGAGCGCCTGTGAGTGCAGCTGCCCTTAGTCTCACTAAGTCACAATCTCCACTGGTTTTCACAACCAGAAATTATGGGGAGTTCTCTCCCCAGCACTGGAACCCTAGGCGAGGACCTCTTGCTCCTCTGGGGGTGGGGAGGAACCTCCACAACCAAGATATCCCTCCCAATCTTTAATGGTCACACACGGATGTGGGACCAGCCTTTCTGCGTCTCTGCCCCTCCTATCAGTCTTGAGGTGGCTTCTTCTGCACGTCCTTAGTTGCAGGGCTTCAATTCAGATAGACTTAAGGTGATTCTTGATGCTGGTTGTTTTGTAGATTAGTTGTAATTTCGATGTGGCCGTGAGAGAAGGTAAGCACAGTGTTTACCTACTGCGCCATCTTGGTATCAAGTCCACAGTCTGTTTCTTTTATGTTTTTTTTTCTCTCTTAAACTATTGATTAGAATCTTAATACAGTCATTAGCTGGGAGGATGGCTTGTCCTCACATCTGTGATAAAGGAAACATGATCTTTAATCCAAAGACTTGCAATGAGGATAAAAGAATGCCCTAAAAAATGGCTGGCAGCAAGGCAGCAGCTAAAAACTCATACTTTCCTAGTTAGTGGCCAACCAATCAGGGATTTGGGCTGCAAACGGACAGAGGTCCTGATCCTAGCTCTCCAGCTGTGTTCCCTTGGGCCAGTTGCTTGTCTGAACCTTGGTTTCCTCAAACTATAAAATACGGATAATCAGCTAAGTGGGGTTGCTGCAGGGACCAGTGGAAAATTCCTTGTACATCAGCTGGTCAACAAATATTAGATTTTGCACCTGTTCTTCTGCATTGACTGTCTTTGAAAAGATAGCTGACTGCCTGAGTGTGAAGTCTGGGGCTGCCACTCACCTGCTTAAGGACTTTGGGCAAGTTGTCTGTCATCCCCAAGCCTCTGAGTCCTCCTCAGGAAGAAGGAGCTGACACTGACGCTGAAGGGTGCTGAGTGAGGGGACCACCATACTGCACACCATGCACAGCATTCCCTGTGCCTGGCCCAAACGACACAGGGCTTCGGTGAGTGTTCACCTCTCCGCTGAGGGTTGTAATCACTCTGTGTTTGATTGGGCATCCTTCAGCTGCAAAGTACACTGAGGAAGGCAAGTTTACTTGCCTTGGCAGGCTAAACTCACCTCGGTTGATTGATGATCCTTGTTATTTGGAAGGCACACAACATTGCATTGAGGCTCCCACAGCTTTGTTCTTATCCTTCACATCCCCAGCTCCAGGGCTGTTGCCAATAACACAGACATATTGTGAATTCATTTCACAAGACTGTTGGGCAGAATCCTGGCTCACTGGTCACAACAGCACTTCTCAGCCCGTCTTCCAGGAGTGTGACTGGATCTCTAACCCTTTCCATCCACCAAAATGTTTTGAAATTATCAATTATGTTTTTATCAACATCAAACCTGTGCCTGACAGTCCAGGATGGTATTTAGAAGGGCAGGGGAGTAGAGTGGAATGTGGTGAAAAAGAACACAGGCTTTTGTATCTGAGGGACTACAGCTCAAATCCCAGTTGTCTCACTTAGAAGCTGTGTGACCATGAGCAGGGGGCTTCACCTCTGATCCCCAGGTCCTTCGCTTGTATAATCAGAATAATCATCTCACAGGGTGATTGAGATGGTAAAATAGCAGAGAGGAGTCAAAAAGAAAAAGAAGAAATAACAGAAATGATGCTCCAAATTGAAGGCTGTATATTATACTGTTGGAGAGGAAAAAAAGAGTTTCCTCTACCCTCTTAGGTTTAGGAACTGGGGCCCTGCAAATCCAACTGACAAAAGACAGATTTGCAGAAGGAAATGTTTAAGACTCTAGCTCCCTTGTAAGGCCCATCCCTGTTCAGGTGGCATCCAGAAGAAACACCATTGGCTACCTACCAATAACTAAAAAGCAATTTAAATGTTTAGTAGTATCTTTCAATTAAATTCCAAAGGTGCGTCCATCTCAAATGGACAGCAGAACTTTTTAAAATATAATTTGCCATGAAGGTGCTCGGTTCCTAAGACATTATCCTCAACCCTTCTTTCTCTTGACTTTTCTCCCCCTCCGTAGTTCACCTTCCAGATCTATTTTTATGCTCTACCAATGGCAATTTTCTGCTCTTTTCAAATCAAGTCTGTGCAGCCCACATGTTAAATGAGCATTACATTAATACCAACACATAGAGATTTTGTAGTTATTAAGTGATATTGTGTGTCAGACAGCATTCTGTGTGGTGTCTGGCACACAGAAAGCACTCAGTAAATTGTCACCATTATTCTTATTAGTCTCAGCTTTAACTGTCATGCTGATTCTGCACAGCAAATTCTCAGGAGAATTTCTGGGACGTAGTGCTGCAGAGAAGGAAAGAAAGTGTGAACGAACACTCACATACACTCGTATAATAATTTTTTTCCTGTTTATAAGCAACAGTGATGCGCAGTTGGGGGGCATTTTCCTTCTACACAACCAGAAAAACCATAGAAAAGACATTGATGTCTCCCTGAATATGCATGCATGCCCCTCTCATATTCCCAGATCTCCTGCAGTTATGTAGGGCCACATGAATAATTCTGGCATGGGCTGTAAATAAAAGTGAGTGTGTCACTTCTTGCCAAAGCATTTAAGAATTGGTGCATAACCCTGCAGCTCTCTCCCTTCCACTGCACAATGAATCAATGACTAAGGAGGCTACAGGGGCCAGATGGAGTACGCTAACACAGTGGAACCTCCATTAACGGGGGTCCCTGAGTGACTGTGTGGAGCAGAGTTCCCCACACCAATTTGCAGCGACTGTGGACTACAAACAAGAAATCAACTTTTGTTGCTGAATTAAGTCAATGAGATTATGGAGTTAACTTGTTACCTCAGCATAACCTAACCTATCCTACCTATACAAAGCCTTTTTACAGATTGCATTTCTAATGATATCCCGTGAGTGTTCTCAAGGATATTCTGCATTACTGTCGATAGTAATCCAGTCTGTTTCCTCCAAGTGCTTGCTTGCTTGCTTCCAGGTGGTCCAGAATATCACGACTATGCCAGGCTTCCTGGTACACGGTCCTCCAGGGAGGCTATGCATGAGCCTAGCATGTGTCCTGTCCCTTTGGAACACAGGTGGGTCAAGAAGTAGCTGTTCTAAGTTTGGGTATTTATTGTGCTTTAGAGACTGGCAGCAGCCAACATTTCAGGCCAGAATCCTACGTAGTTTGATCGAAGTGTCAATAATAAACTCCTGATTTCTGGATTTGTCCTTTGACTTTTGGGGTTTGAGTCCCATTTATGCTATAGAATTATCTGCTCCTCCACTGTTACAGCTCTTGTTCAAACCATCGTCTTCTCTTTCCTGGACCTCTAAGACAGCTCCCTGTGTCTCCTCTTGTCTCTCTACGATCCATTCTCTGCTCACCAGCCTAAGTGATCTTTTTGTAAATCTCATTACATCACCTTCCAAGTTCTTCCCTCACGTCTCCCCACCTCAAAAAAAATTATTCAATGATGCTTACTTGTTTTTGGATCATATCCCAAGTCCTTTACACGATCTACCTGAGACTGTCCACCTTGTCTCTGCCAGTTCCTACAATCCCCTATCTCCTTCATTCTCCTGTTCCATCACCGTTAGCCTCTTTCAGTTCTTCAAGGCAATCAATACTCACGCCCACCTCAGACCCTGGGCACATCTTGTTATCTGTGCACTGAACAACCCCTCAGCCAGGGAGAGCTTTCAGATCACTGAGATTACATCAGGCTCCCTGTTACACACCCTCAAATTGCCCTTCTAACTGTCTAATATTGTTTGTAATGACATCCTGAGTCTATGTCCTCGATGTCTGCTTTTCCAACTAGACAATAATCTCTGAAAGGATGGAGTCTGTATCCATTTATTCATCATACTACCCCAGCATCTAACACACTCAATGCCTATGAAAGTCCAGGTGCTGAATAATATGCTCAATCACTAGTAGTATTACTGTTGGTCAATAAATATTTGATAACTAAAGGGTCACACGAATAGACAAACCACATGTGGGATTTTAAGCAAGTCACTTCACCAGTCCAGATCATGATTTTCTCATCTTTAAAATGAGTAGTTTGGATTAATTCCCTCTGAGTCGTCTCTGGATTATAATTGTTCTGATGAAAACTTTTTTTTTATTTTAGTGTCCGCTATTAAAGAAGAAGCAAAAAAGGAAAAGGCCATAACCTTCCTACCTACAACAGGTAAACGGGCAGGTAGTCCCCCCCACTCACTCTGTCTTGGGCAAATTCCTTGGCTTCCCGAAGCCTCACTTTCTCTATCTGTCAAATGGAGATTGTATCTGTATTTCAAGCTCTAACAGTCATAGGTCCTATGAGGTTCTGATTGCTTTATGGTTCATGGAACACCTGGATTTTCAAAATCTTATTAAATCCAAAGACTCTCACATTCTATTTGCACCAGAAGATTTCATAATGGGAGGTATTGTTGTGCGCCATCATCACCTTTGTAATAAATTCCAGCTTTCTTTTCTGATGGTCTGAAACTGGCCATGCAGCAAGATGGTGAGGTCATTGTAACATGAAGGACATATGAGTCGGGCTGGGTTTCTGTTCCTAACTTTTTGGTAAATACACTGAATAATTTTTTGGTATATTTCTCATTTGGGGAAGGGAGATGAAGATTCTTTATTTTTTCAATTTTATTTATTTTTAATTAGTACCTGCACATGGCTCAAAATGCAAATGGTACAAAAGTGTGCAGTTAAAATGCATCCCCACTTCCCTTTCCCACCAGACACCAGTTGTACCAATTTCTTGTGTCTAAGCAGAGTACTTTTCAATAAATATCTCCCATACTTAAGCCTCCAATTTTCTCCTCTTTAAATGGGAACGGCAATTTCTGCTCTATAGGTAATCATAAAGGATAAAAGGTGATAAAATACTAAGCATACATGAGTATGAAAAATACCAAATACCTTCTATTTTAAAAATACTACAGTGGTGGCCTTTTTATCCAAAAAGAGAACAATAGTTTTATACGATCTGTTGATTTATTTGAAAAGGCTTCTGTGTGACGTCCTATTCAGAAATCCTTACTTCAGGTGTGTCTAGTGCATACTTCAAATATTGTTTCCAACATCCATCCACTGAAATTTTTATTTCAGTGCCTGGAAATGAAGTTTGTAATTATAAAAAAGAGTGGCAGAAATCATGTTTCCTTCATGAAAGGAGTGGTGTTCAAGAAATGTTCTTAGTTAAGATGATGGATGGCACAGGGCCCATCTTTCTGGCTCGACAGGTGTAGGGGTCCTGCGAGCTCAGCATCCCTGCAGCCTGGAGCTCTGAGCCCAGCGACCCCAGTTCCTCACCTGCACGGAGCACCCTTCTTCTCAGCCAGGTAACAGGCGAGGTCCATCTCCGATCCTGCAGCCACTTCAGAGAGGACCACTCAGGCAGAGTGCCCTTCAGAGCACCTGAGGCAGAGAGACGGAATCTCCCAAACCAGACTTCCTTTCGTCATAACATAACCACCACCTCTCGTGGCCACATTGTAGGGAAAGGGAGTGATAGCCCCCCCTACCTCTAACCCCAAAGCGCTGGTATTTAACCAGAAAGCTTGATAATCAGTGAAAGGCCAAACTGGCTGACAACAGTTGACTGGACTTGAGTTCTAAGAGGGCGCTTGGCAAACAGGGGGACAACCTAAGCGTTCATCCACAGATGAATAGGTAAAGAAAGTGTGGTATTCCTGCACCATGGAATATTATTCAGCTTTAACAAAGAAGACAACCCTGCCATCTGCAACAACATGGATAAAGCTGGAAGACATTATGCTGAGCAAAATAAGTCAGCAGAAGAACAAATACCATAGGATACCATTGCTATGAGGAATCTAAAATCATCAGATTCATAGAAGCAGAAAGAAGAAAGGTGGCTGTGTGGGGCTCGGGGGAGGGGAGCAGGGCCACTTTTCCCTTTTCTGGCCTCAAGGTCCTCAGCCTTCAAAGGGAGTGTTGTACGAGGTGACGCCTAAGGATGTTATAAATTGTGTGAGGCTGTGGTTCCACGATACTATTTTATTCATGAAAACTTTTATTTCAGGGCCTGGAAATGAAGTTAAGAAGGAAAAAGCAGGGGCTCTCCCTAGTGCAACAGGTAACTAGGCCAGGCGTAAGCCCTGGCTGACTCTGTAACACTGTGACTCAGGGATGCATTTGCCAGCCTCTCTGTGCCTTGGTTTTTTTTTCATCTGTAAAATGGGCATAAAGCACCCCCTCCATTGGAACGAACTCTGAAAAAAAATCATTGCAACAACAATAATAGTAACAAATGCTGAGTGATTCAACGGCATCCCATCCAAGACAGTGGGTCTTTCAGGCCTCGGCATTATGCCCCTCCACGGGAGCCTTCTGCATTCCCCCAGGCCAGGTTGCGTGCCCTGAGACGAGTGCTCACAGCAACCCATTCTTCCTTGTTTGACGCTCCTCAGGTGCAATTACAAGTGAATCTCCCTCTTCCCACCTGAGCCACAGACAGTAAACTTCACGGAGGTGGGTGGACACCTGGTCCTTTCCCTCGACCTCTTTACACCCAACACCTAGTGTATTGCTTGGCCCTCCGTGAGTATTTGTTGAATGGGTAAAGAATGAATGCACACCTTGGGCATTTCAAATTTCCCTCTGTCATTTTCTTCTTTGGTACCACGAACGTTGCCAAGTGGGCAAGTGGTCTGATATTTTGGAAGGGCCCATGCTCTGCAGCTCTAGGAAGTAGACACTGATCCCTTCATTACCCGGACTCAGCTGTGCAAATTTAGGCAAGTTCCTTGTCCTCTCTGAGCCTCAGTTTCCCTATCCGGTAAAGGGGTAGGGTAGATTAGCCCCACTGCTTCAGAATCACCTTGCCTGACCTCTGAGTCTTCTCCAACAACGTGGAGCTGGGGGTGGAGGCCCCAATTTCTCCCCTGAAGCCTTTTCTCTTCCCAGTGTCTGGCCTTGGAGGAGAAGAGAAGAAGGAAAAGAGGGTGGCGTTTCTGGATACCACAGGTGAGTCCCCCACCCTCCTGGGGCTCCATGGGTGGCCTGGGCTGCTGAGGAAATTATCCCACTTCTCTGGACCCCACTCGCGATTCCCACAGCGAGATAACAGCATCCCTCCAGCCTTCTGATCGCCTTAGCCATACAATTATCTGAACATTAACTAAATGTTGAAAAAGCCAATGTTTGTACAAACATAAAGAGCATCAACCATTATTTCCACCTTGTCAACTGTGGTTTGCAAAGCTTCAGGGAACAGCTGGAAGGAGGGAGGGCCCGCAGCGTCTTTCCCCTCAGCTGCACGCTGCCAATATCTGAACAACAGCTAACTGACTGATTGATGGATCAATTGATAACTGATTTTGGCCCTGATGTCTGGGCCACACAGGCCTGAATTAAATCTGAATCTCCGTGGTTGGAGCCCAAGCATGGGAATTATGATATTAAAACGATCTTTCCAGTGACACCAGTGCCCAGCCAGGTGTGAGCACCTGTCAGACGAGGTGGTCATTCCCAAATACAACACGTCGGGAGCTCCTGTCCTTTCCTTGGGCTCCCCAGATATGCGAGTGTTTCCCACCAATCTCTACCCTCTCCAATGCAGAGACCAAACATTCCTTAAAATAGGGGTTCCTTGTGCTGCCCCCAGACTTCTTCCATCGTCTCTGTCTTGTCACAATGTACGCCAGTGGCTGTCCCCTGCTGAGAGCAGAGACTGCCTTTTATCGTCAAACTCCTTGTGTCCGGAAAAGGGTGTGAGGTCAGTAAATGGTCAAAAAGGGGGCACGTCTGTCTGAACATTGGAAACGAGGAACTTTTTCTGTTACCAACAAAAGCCAGCCGGTGACGTTCTCTCCGAATCTCTTTCAGAGTTGCCTGCAAGGGCGGTGGATCTGTCAGAACTTAACCTGACAGAGCTGGTGAACGGGATGCTGAGCAGAGCCTTGAAAGGTAACATTTGCTGAAAAGCACAATCCAGGCCCATTTTTGCATGTAGCAGCTTCCCTTCCGGACGCTCTGACTTGGGCAAGACACCTCATGCTGCCGTGTCCCAGCTTCTCCGTGTTCAGAGAGGAGGATGGGCTTAGCTCATGATGGGACTGAACACACCCGAGCGAAGCAGGAGGTTGGCCAGCATTTTGAGAGCAAACTATATTCCAAACGTAGCATGTGCGCTGGCATTTTTAATCATAATGATATCTTGAGAGAATTGCTAGAGCTTAAGGGCCAATTGGAAAAGATAGCCACGTGACATACGTGTATTTTTGCTTTTTTTGTTTTGTTTTGCTTTTGTTTATTATTTTCGGTTTCTATTTTTGTATTGTTCATTTTTGTTATTGATTTTTATTACTTGTTTGTTGTATTGTTAATTTCTATTATTCATTTACTCAGTTATATTATGGCTTATAATATAACACAATGTAATATATAATTTTCATATATATTTTATATACAATTTTTATATAATTTTATGTATAATTTCTATATAATGTTTATAATATAATATAATATAATGATATAATTTGCCTGTTTCTTTATCTTGATATCGTTGGCAGACAGCAAGAAGTTCTTCTCCTTGCTGAGCATCACGTCCTACAGTTCCTTCGCCTTCCACAAGCTTTCTGTGACCATTTACAACAGTAAGTGCTGCCCAGCCCTTCCTGGTGGCACTAACGGTGAGCCATGGGCCAGCAGGGTCAGGCTGTGCTGTCAAGATTGCTGTGTGGACTGCTTCTCTTCCCAGTTTCTAACCTGAAGACGGTGGACCCAGCCAAATTCCCCACGCGGTACTGCTACTGTTTAAACAATCGGACCAATGACCTATCAGGTGGGTGGGACTATCCAGGACGTTTGACTCTTTCCTGATTTTGCTTGTGCTCTTCTAGATAAGGTGGAATGAATTTTTGCTCCTCAGAATACAGATAGGAAAATGCAGACTCTATTATGCTTAAATGAGTGCACATTTCATCGTCCAAGAGAGTTTTTTTCTTGGTTTTTTACCCTAGAGACAGAGGGGTAAGAACAAAATGTTCACGCAGCTGTATTATTTATTTGTTTATGTATTTTTTTAGCTGAGCCATCCTTCCACCTCTTGGCAGCTCAGTGGCAGCTCAGTCGGACCGGGAATCGAACCGGCGACCCTGTTGCTCAGAGCTCACACAGCTTTGTTTTAATATTAAGGTCTGAGAAGAAGCTAAATATCCATCATTGGGAACGTGGTTAAATAGTCTACCATATAAACAGGCTTCAGAAAGCTGCCTTAGACAATACAAGTGAATGGATGTGGCTGGAGCTGGCCTACATATGGAAAAACTTCCATGACATTCTTAATTAGAAAAAGAAAGTTACAAAATAATATGTAGAATACAGTGTCACTGATGAAAAAACACATACATATGTGGGCACCGGATGGATGATTACCTCTGAGGAGACTGGGGTGTGTGGTTTAGATGGTTGATAAAGGGGGCCTCGTGTTATCTGATTTTTTTTTCAATGAGAGCATATTTATATATTAGTTACAATGAAAAAATTTAAAATATTACATGTTCCTTATCTTTCAGGAAGCCCAAAAAATAAAAATTAAAATTAAAATTACTCTCTCCCCACTAATTCACTCATTCAACAATTCTTTATGGAGCAGATACTACTAGTCAGACATGCTTCTGTGTGGGGGCACCAGACTGAGCAAAGGGGACGCCCTTCCCCTGCTCTCATGGAACTTCGATTCTGTGGGAAGAGACGGAAAGTAATTGAATAAAGTGAAAACACCCAGCATGTTGGCTGATAGGGTTACAGTGAGAACAATAAAGCAGGCAAGAGTGAGGAGGGATGTGATGGTGGGGAGGGCTGCTGTGTGCAGGGTGGTCAGGGAAGTCCTCTCTCATGAGATGATGATTGAGGGGTGACCTGCAGGAAGTGGGGAGACAGCCCTGGGGCCCCTGGAGACAGAGTGCTCCAGGCAAAAGCCGAGGCAGCAGAGAGAACGGCAGAGGCCAGTGTGCTGGAGCAGGTGAGCCGGGGCAGAGAGTCGTGGAAAATGAGCTCTGAATGGTGAGGGTGAGGCAGAAAGGGTGTTGCAGATCATGTAGAAGTTTGTGGGATAACTGGGGAACACAAATCAGAAAAACCACTATTCAACAACATGGCCTTGCACAGCTCTTTGGCGATGGAAAAGAAAGGGGATGATAGTTGTGGGTCCAAAAGTTTTCTGCCTGCCTGAGGTTGAGACTGTTTTTATATTTAGTGGCATTTCTCTAATGACTGTTAATATTCCTCAGTTCACTGAACTGAATCAAACTTGTAAAATCTATTCTGACAACTCCAAATACGATATACTTTCTCCCTCTACCAAGTCTCAGAAATGTCAACCTCCTCATTCTGTCTTCTAGACTTCACAGCTCTACTGGTGGACATCATTGGAAATTCTACCAGCTACCTCACAGAGATTTTCAAGTCGACCTCCATCCTTTCAGGTACATTTATCTTGAAAATGCTTGGCCATTTGAGATTTGGCGTCCAACATGGAAGATCACCAAACCTAGTAGACCCCCTCCCCCCACAAAACCCGTGTCACAGGCCAGGCTGCAGGGAAGTTTTAATCCGGCAATCTGTGTGGTCCGGTTCCAACCACCAGTATCTGAAGGTATCAGAGATATTCCTGGAGTCCAAAACATTGGAGGAAGACTCCAAGGCTCAAAGTTGTGCAAAACCCAGGCAGACTCAAGAAAGCAGCTTCTGCTGGACAGCTGAGCTCCCATGTTAAATGTGGGAAACTTGAGGTTCAGAGAGGTTGGCTATTTTGCTCAAGGTTGTTCAGGATTCAGATTTAGAGCTACATGGAGCCGAAGCACATGCCTGATGGACAATTGAGAAAGACATGCCTCATTTATAAGATGGCTTCATATAACCCCCAGGCAGTTCACATTCTCCTGAGGACCCACTTTGCAAAGCACAGGTCTAGTCAACAGCCCAACACTTGATGTCATCAGCTACACGACAAAGTAACTACTGTTTTGCAAGCAGGGAGATGGAGAGAAAGAGGAATGTGAATAGATGCCATTAAGTGGCATGGGCTCTTCTAAGGGCTTTCCATGAATTTTCTCATTGGAGCCTCATTACAACCTTGCTGGGTAGCTACTATATTTATCCCCCACTTTACAGGTGAGGAAACTGTGGCACAGAGATGTTAAGTAACCTGCCCAAGATCACTCTGCAGGCGATCCAGGTCTGAAGTCCATGCTGTTGGTCACTATGTTAATACATAAAATAATAGTAGCACATTAGCAGTAACAATCATTATTATTATGACTATTTACTGAGCTCTTCTCTCTGCCAGGCACCACTCTTAGCGCTTCACACACATTATCTCATTGGATCGTCATAACCATCCTACCAGGGATGTGCGACCACATGTCCATACTCTTTTAGGCAGCATCTTCAGGGACAAGTGTGTTGAATTCAGAAGTTTTCAGACTTTTGGAAGGTCTAATGTGGTGTCCACACCATACATGATATAACACCTCTAACAGCATCCAGGATAGCCTGCTGTAATTAAACACATTCATAGTCATTTGGCGGAGTGCTTGACCCTTTACAGGAAGTGGGATAAACTCTATAATCAGCCTCACCTCTGTCAAGTCCACCAAATGAGTTTGGGTACAAAACTCACACAAAACCTTCTATCTTACAGAGATTTGGGGATTTGGAAATTGCAAATAAAGGACTGTGGGATTTGAATCTTAACCATTTTAAAGATGGGTAGCCAGTAAGTGACAGAGCTGATGTAACCAGGGAAGCTGACCCCAGAGTGTGGCCCTTAGCCATTACATTATACTGCATCCCACCTCCCCCCAATAATCAAGGAAATCAGGGTTGCCTCAAAAGTAAGGAGTTAGCTTCCTTTTCCAAGAGCATCCTAAGCCAGGTGTTTCCAGCTTAATTTTTATTTCAACCAAAGACTTTGCAGCTTCAGACCCATTCCTACGTCTTGTGTGCTGGTTTGTCTTACAGTGAGTCAAACAAATGAATCTGACTGCATCTTCATCTGTGTCATGACAGGAAAGTCAGGTGAGCCCCCAGCCATTCTCTGACAAACTCCCTGGAGCATTAAGCAAAGTCTCTTATCAGGCGAGCCCAAGATTTGACCCTGTTGGTGGGACTTTTGCAGGAAGAAACCTTTCTGACTTCTGGGAGATGGCAGAAAAGTCTCCTGTTATCAATTACACCTTTACCAGCAGCCTGTCTGGTGTTCTGGGTGAGTGTACCTCCCAAACTCTTGCTCTAAAGCCTCCAGGCCAGGGTCCCATCTAGCAAACTGAAGACTAAGTGCGGCCGGCAGGTATCTCCTTTAGCCACACTGTATTAACATGTAAGGATTTTGTCAGTTTAAAAATTTTTTTAATTTCTAGATTGTTTTGCAAAAGAAGATCTGGCAATCTTGGATGCCCCTGCCAACGCATGGCATCAAGCAACTGGAGTTTACTAGCTGCTGCCTCCACATCCCCCACTAGGAGGGCCATCTTTCTCTCATTTTCCATAGTCATTTCTGCTCTCTATTGCCTTGAACGTTTTTCTCACATTAACTACTGGGCTTTGTTGTAGACGTCACTCTAATAATCAGCCCCCACCCAACCATCCTCTGCCTCTCCACACACTCCATCTACTCTTCCTGTCTTTTCCATGGCACCAGTCAGCATTTTTGGAACCACCTTTAAGCCCTCTTTCTCCCTTACATTTAACTGTCATTTCTAGCTGAATAAAGTTTCTGGAATCTGGGTGGTCCTCCAAGACCACCCTTGCTACTGCTTGCCATCTACCTTTGGACTGTAATAGCCTCCTAACCAGCTCCCCTTGACCCAGTCACGTATTTCTCTAGAGCATCCATCCATTGCCATAGAGGGATAGTCTTAACATACGATGGGGTTGACTCTTCTCTGCTCAGAATTCCCATCAACAGCAGAGAGTCCAAAGTCCTCTGCGTGGAGTGCACCTTTCTCTGTCATCAAGCCCACTCTCGTCTCCTGCTCTCATTTTCCATGAAGCTTCTGTTCAAACTACACTGAAATTCCTTCCTCTTCTTGCAGATGATGTGCCTCTCCATGCCCCTGCAAATTTGCTCATGCTATTATCTCAGTCTAGATCTCCTTCTTTACTTTTCTATATTTCAGAACCCAAATTGTCGGTCTCCAGCTCAGCTGCTGCCTCCTCTTTCATAAACGTCCTGCAATCAAAATTAATCTTCTAGGACCCGACATCATAGCACTTGTCCGTCATTGGGACTCTGTGTTACTCCAGGTTACATCACAGTTGACCTTATATGTGTGTCTCTTCACTGACTGGTGCTTGAAGGCAGAGACTAAGTCTGCCTCCGCCCTCAGTGCTTTGCACAGTACCTTATAAACTGTAGGTTCTTTATGAATGTTTTAGAGTCAAATAAAGTGTATGATAAATCCCCAGTCCCATTTCAGTGGGCTACCTTGATTTGCTTTTATTGTAGAGCATCTCCTAGGTATGCTGAGGAAAACACCTCAGTTCGTGTGGAATGAGGCTGCTTGATAAGGCGATGAAATGGGCAGTTGGTGGGCTCTCTTCACCTGTCTAATTCTGAGGACAAATTGGATGGTTGCGTCAATCTCACTTATCAAGAGATTCCTTCCATGACCTTCCCACCCCCAAACTCAATTATGTCTCCTCTTGGGTGCTCCTTCAGTAAAGCTCTCCAAGCAGCAAATGCTTGGGGAAAGAGAACAAGTTGGCAATCAGGTTGATGTGCCTGGTAATCAGTCACCTGGCTGAGTGATGGTTTGATTGGGCAGCACTTAGTCCCACGTGCAATCAATCTGGGAGCAAGGACCAGGCTTCTACTGCATGTGGAATGTTACTGAGCCCAGAAGTCAAGCAGGAGAAAGGAAACTAGGCTACAGGGCCGCTGTCTACAATTGCACAGGATGTGCCCTACACACGGTTACCTGCAGAACGGGCAAGTGGGGGTCAAAATCACACCTGTCTGCAGGCCAACGTTCTACCACCCAGAGGAAGGCACCCTATGGGCTAGTGGGAGGAAGCCCGTCATCCTAATATCAGTCCCCATCTCGTAAGCCTTCCTGAAGGGAGATGGAGGTAAAATGAACACCTGAGCCTCTTCTTCCATTTCTTCACAAAGCATCCAAGACACTGGGGAGAGAGCCCTCTGAATTACGCCTTCCTGCTGTCTCTGTGGGGCTGTCTTTGAAGCAGTTTCCACCTAGCAGTTCCTGATTCCCCTAAATCCCACCTCTGGTCCCCAGTCACAATGGCGGGGCACGTGGAGCAACCCTGGACGACTTCCGGGGACAAGTGCCAGAGCCACAGGGGGGCTGAGGGCTGAGAAGCGGCCCAAGGACTCTGAGGGTCCAGGTTCCATTCAGGAAATGCGTCAAGTGCCTGATACTTTTGTGGTCTGACAGCTTTGCATTCTGTTCACAGTGCTTCTTCACATGGCTTTTTCAGAGACTGATATTTTAGGCTAATTTGCCATTGAAGGAGAAACCCTAGTTTGGGGACATAGGGTGCTGGTCCGAGCAAGGTGTGAATCTCTGCATTCTGAATATTTGCTGTGTGGGAACCTTTCAGGGGCACAACAGTCGTTTGTGTTCAAAGTTAAAGCTGTCATTGATGCCCCCCTGAATGTGCAGCAACCAGGGGGACAGCCGGGCCTTCAAAGCTCACACCCACAAGCCAGGAAACAGCACCAAGGACAATCCCTCCACGCCGAGCCCAGAGCCCTGGCGTGTCTGCTCTGAGAACCTCTCCCTGGACAGATCCAGCTCATCCTTCAGAGGCGGGAGAGCAGACCATGAACATGAACAGGCTCCCTGAGCTTCACGCCAGGACTGCGGCTGCGCCGGGCCGCGCCATTGCCACGCTCCCAGCCTTGGGTAAGGAGCTTCCTCACCCTTTCCTCTCCTGCCCATTTCTCCTTCCTGTGCCCTCTGGGCTCACAAAAATAAGCAAAATCCTCCCTGCAACGCCTCTCTACCAACCCCTTCCTTCTTCAGCCTCCCTTAAGAGATCAATGTGAGCCAGCATGGGTTCGATACAGACAAAGACAACATATGTCACTGATATATGTTCTTCTAACATGTGCTTGTATAATTTTTTTATCTTGGAATAGTTTCAGACTCACAGGAAGTTGCACTTATAGTACAGAGAGCTCTCTGGTTCTCCATCCAGCATACCCCAGTGAGAATATATTACATACTTGGAGTATATTATAGCATAAGGTATTTTATTTCAGCAAAGCATTTATGAATATCTGTCCTGAAATTCACACTAAATGCTGAAACGCAGTCCCTCTATGGCAGGATTGGGTTAATTTGTAGCTGGCTGGCTAATGATGCCATGAACATATTAATGACTTGATGCCAGTCTGAAAAGCTGATGATGTGCCAAGAGGGTCCCCCTTCCCCACAATTTTGTGGGCATCATCAGTGGTGTAGTCACTGAAGATGCAAAAAGCATGCTTACAACTGGGATAGCTCTTTCTGTAAGAGTCAGTCCTGTCTCAGTGAGTTCCATCAATGGGTCAGTCATCAGAATTCATTCATTCATTCATTCATTCATTCATTCATTCATTCATCCATCCATCAAAACATGTATTTAATAGCAGACACCAGGCTAGCTGTAAACAACACAGCTCTGCCTACATTCCCTTTCTTTCCTGAGCTCACGGACCAGGGAAGGGGACATAGGCAAGTAAACCGATAGTTATTGTCCAGACTACAAAGAATTATTGTCCTGGAGAGCCCAGAGAGGAGGCTTCCCCGAGGAGGTAAGAAGTGATAGAGGCAGGCAGGCAGTGAGACAAGAATGGGGAAAAGGAATCAACTTCATTATCTAGAAAAGTCCTTAGTACAATAGCTACATTATGAAAATTACACAAAATTAGAAAGCCTTCCAGTATGATAAGAAAAAAATCCCAACAACACAAAGATGTGCTTGCTAGTGGCAAGAAAATTAATAAAATACCTAACTATATACTTAAGAGAAAAAGCGCTGGTTTTATGTAAAAAGAAAAAAAAACTACAGAATTTTAATGACACTAATAAAAACATAGTCGAATAAATGAAGCGGTATACCGTGTTCTGGGTAAGAAACCTGAATATTTTAAAGATGGCAACCATTCCTAACTTATCTTAGAGGTTTAAAGTCCTTCAAGGGGATTCATTTTGGAAAACTTGAAAACATAAATTTTAATTCTTACCATGGGAATGAATAAGTAAGAACATTTAGTAGTTGTTTAAGAGACCAATGAAGGAAAATTTGTCTTAATAACAATCCTGTGGTATTATAGGGTATTATTATTATTATCATCATCATCTCCATTTTAGTAATAAAACTAAAAAGAGTTTAATAACTTGTCCCAAAGTTGACAGCATGGAAAAGGCAAAAGCAGAATTTATCCCTCCGGGTCCTCTTACCTCAAACCCCCATCACCTTTCCACTGTGTCACATGGTTAGAAATGTATTTCTTAATATTGTGAGAACCAACTGTCCGCCAGACACACACCCCTGCTGATTGTTTGAGTGGCCAAGGGATTTGGAGAAATTTCTTTAATTGGTAGTGAGGAAAGTAAAGTTTAGTTTGGTCCATTCTTTCCAGTTCAGGGTAGAGTTTAAGTTCCTGGATTATCTACATTTTGCGCGTTCGTTGCATTTACCCTTTGACTACATTTGCATGTCATGTCAATTTTCTATCTGAATCGAAGTGGTCGAGCATAAAGCGCCTTGTTACTGTCACTTGTGCAGCTACCAGGAGAGTGGCCAGAACTCCATGGGTGACAGCCAACAGGCGGGCCTGGGCTTCCACATTACCCGGGCCCTGGGCTCAGACCATCGGTGAGAAAACACCTGGAGGGCCTCCTTGGGGAATACTTTCCTTTACATCAACATTGCCTGCAGAGGCCAAGGAGGTCATGACCACAAGCGGCCCTACTGGGCCTCCTGCGAGGACAGCAGCCACACATGGCAGCCCATCCCAGACCAGCCCAACCTCAGGTAAGAGAGGGTATTCTCTCCCACCTCCCCCACTTTTGAGCTAAATTTAGCATTGTCTGTTTTTAAAACCTTTTCTAAATGGTTGAACTAGAATACATGTGTAGGAAAGTCATAAAACATAAGTTAGCAGCATCATTAAACATCATAAAGTGAACTCTCTGACCTTTTCTTTACCCCATTCCTATTCCCACCTTTGAATGAATGAATGAATGAATGAAAAGTCCCTCTTCACAGGAATCTCTCACTTTCTCTCTCTTTTATGTACCCTCTTGACAATTTTTTTCTCCTTTTCCCCCTTTTCGCTGTCCATTAAACGAGTGACCACAAGAAGCTGACGTTGTTCGCCCCAGATAATTCAACTGCCTTTTTGACATAGTACTAATATGTATAAATATTATTATGTTACTTACATAGACATTAAATATATGCAATGTAATGTAACACACACATCAATTACATATATAAATATAATTATAGTATATACATTAATGTAATATGAGTAAGGCCTGAACTCTAGAAGTCAGGAAAAAAACTGTCAATGCCAATTTTGTGTGTATATGAGTATGTACTTACATGTGTGTGTGCATGTGTGTAATAAATACACGTAGAAACTAGAAAACAAAACAAAATAAGACTGGAAAGAAATTCACAACATAGTCACCTTGACTATATCTGGGAAGTAGATATGATTTTTATTTTTCTTCACTCTAACACTGTGAATTTTCCATATTTTCTACTCTTACCATCAAACAAAAAAAGGTGCCTTTATTTTAATCATTGACTCTGATACCTGCAGCCAGAGGCCCTTCTTCCAAGCTCACCACAGTCAATGCATCATTGCTTTGCTGTCCGTGTTCATGAACTTGACCTTCCTCCTCTGGAGGGCACGCTCTCCTCAAGGGCCCATATGTCATTAGTCTCCAGTTCCCCTGAAACACAGTAGGCCTTCAGTAAAAGTTTCTTGAATTGTCTGAATTTCTTAAGAAACAGAGGGGAAGGAGTAGATGAATTTTAATAAGCATAAATGTAAAGTCCTGGCTCAAAATCTCAATTGCATAAACAGATCTGGAAATACAAATTTTAATAGCTTTAATCAGCAAAACACCTGACGTAATTGCATAGGGAAAAATGAAAGCTAACGAGCTTGGGTTTGGCCAGCTGGACAACAGCAGGCAGCACAGCCCTGAGGCAATGAGCTCTGGTCCTTTATTTCAGATGCAGCAGGGTTGAAATCCTGGTTCTACTATGGCTGTGTGTCCCTAGGCAGTTTCTTGACCTCTCTGAGTCCCAGGTTTCTCATCTTTGAAATGGGAGTGATGCTACGTGCTTTTCAGAGTGGTGGTGATGATTAAATTAGGTGATGTCTGTAAGGTGTTCAGCTCAGCACTTAGCGTCTTGGAACCACTCCATCAATGGAACCCCCTACCAACCTTTCCTCCTGCACCCACAGCAGCAGCGGCATGGCCAGCTTCAGGAAACACGCTTTGGGAAGGGTGTTGACAAACAGGAGGCCCGCCAGAGGAGAGCACAGGCCTGCTCCTGCTTGGGTCCCTGTCAGCTCTCATCCTCTGCGATTCTGCAGTCACTTCGTTAAACTGTAAATAACAATCGCAGACAAGTAAACTCTGCATTTGGGTCGTGGTTAAGGCTGCTCAGTTTCTAGAAACACACCCAGGCAGCAAGCATTTACTGATGCCTCCTTCTGTGTTTATGGGGAACACATTCACACGCCTGAAAAGGAAGCAAAAGAAAATGCTGACTCACTCTAAGAAAAAGACAAAGGGAGGCCCGGAGTCATCTGTCTGTAAATGTGTCACACTGCTCATCTCCAGTACTAACTCAGTGGCCCTCCTGGAGCCTTGTTAAAGTTAACACTGCAACACCCACAGTCCTTGTAACATAATAATATGTTCCCAGGTGCATAATAAGTAACGAGCAGTGTTACAACACCAGGTGGGGTTGAGTCCCACGCTCTGAGACCCTTGCTTGCTTCTCACCACCTCCCCTCTCCCCTCTACGTCACCCTCTAGACCCCAGTTATGGCAAACTATCCCCCGCTCACTTCTCTGTGGTTCTTCTGTCCCAGAGATGTCACCTGTCCCCCAGGACCCCACCCCAGCTGATTTGGGTGCCCACCTTCCTTGCTCACGCTGCATGTCTACCTCTCCCCTTTCCTTCCACTTAGCCACACGAGTGAAATTGCCTGTTTTATCATCTTCCTCCTCATTCCCTCTAAGAAGGATGCTTTTGCTGGTTTTGCCAGAGGCCAGAATCTTGACAGCAAGGATCACATCCTCAAACCAGGTCCTCAAACCAGGACTTGTGAACATGATCCAAAGAATTGATGAGAGGAGCCCATGCTCTATTGTGAAGAGGACAGGCCATCCATAGGGGTGGGGATGGGGTAACTGTGTGCACTCAGACTCAGAGGAATGAGAAAGGCGTCATTTTCTCTCTGCCCAGGAGCACCTGGGCTTGGACACTCACTGCCCGGGTAGCACCATTCTGCTCCTGTGTAGTTACCAGTACTAACATGATTCCAAGGTCACCTACACACAATACCACAGTTTCTGCTGCGACTTACCCATCTCCTCCTCGATGCTGGAAGTGCCTCCACTGTGGGTTCTAGTTCTTACGCATTTCTGAATCCTCAGTGCCCTACCTGGTACCTGGCTTAACAACCAACGTTGGATGAATAGGGCAGGAGTGATGGCATAGGACCTCTGCTCCTGATTAGGCATCCTGAGAAGAAACGCAGGCTCACCTCTCTCTCATCTCATTCCAGGAACGCTCACCCCTGGCACACAGACTCCAAATCCAACCAAGGCACCGGCCCCCAAATATCCACAGGCAGGTAAGAGTGGGCTGCAAAGAGGAACCCAATACCACAGGCAAGAAACAGCTTAGGGACAGGGCCATGGTGGGACGGACAGGGGTGCCAGTAAGCAAACAAAGCTGGTTACTGTGCTTGACTGCGTTTAGCAGGAAAAGAGTCAGGAACAAGGGCTTTGCTGTTTTGTTAAATTGCCCTGTGATCGTGGATCAGTCGCTTCCTCCTTTTTAGCCCCAATGTCCCTGTAGATTTCGAGAGCTCCCTTATCTTTAGGGTGTCATGATTCTCTGCTCACCTGTATAACCCAAGACCATTTCCTTTTGATTTTTTGAGGCCATTCTTGCTCCTTGCAGATGATCTCCTCGCAGCGTGGCCGTTTACCCCTGGAGAAGAGCCAGCCCTGGTCCCAGGACCCCACCAAGTTCAAGCTTCAAGTATGTACCCGTGCCCTGTCCCTCCTACTGCTTTTGTTTGGTTTGGACGAGGTGGGGCAGCAAAATAGAAAGGAGGCGTGTTTGATAAATTTAGATTTGCACGGCTGGGATTCGAATCTTAGCTCTACCATTTACTGGCGAGGTGGCCTCTGGCACTCACCTTCCGGAATTCAGCCTCCTCCGCTGTCAGGCAAGAATAATAACAATGATTATGGGCACTAAACATGCCCCTTTGCCCCACAGGGTATTGTATTAAGTGAGATAATGTGTGTGGAAGTGATATGGAACTCTAGAGCTCCATATAATTGAATTCAGTCAAGTTTTATTGAGTGAGTGGCCATCTATTGAGACTGTGCCTTGCACTTTGCAAGTGGAAGTTTTTACAATGTTCTTATAATGAGCGTGATGTCAGCAGAGGGAGAGGAAGGAGGAAAGGATGACTCCAAAATTCATCCCTCCTTCACAGGGTGCAACTCACTTTTGTTCTGTTTTAAAGAACAGCCCGCCTTCCCCATCCCTGCACACGAATTCATAGGGAAATCTGGAGGAAACCCTGTCCTGGGTTTGGACCTGGGTTTTACGGACATCTGACAGAGGCTCGGGGCTTTGAGTTTCTGTGGTTTGTGCTGCATTTTCCCAGCATGTGGATGTGTCGCTGTCCTCTTTTCCATTGAGCCAGTTTCTGTAAGGGAGACAGGGATACACAGTGAGTCCTTCAAAGCTGGTTGAGCCCACGGGCCCCTCCCAGTCCTGAAGGCCTTTCTATACTAGTTTCCCGCCTGTCCCCAGACCATCCAGTCGTATGTCAACAGGACATTATTAAATGGCTGGAGCCAGCAGTCTCCTTTTTCATATCACCTCAGATCTGCCTCAGCCCCACCCTCAACCTGCAGTGAATGGTGAATGGGCTTTTCAGACACAAAGACGCGATTATGGTGCCATCAGCTATTATAACCCTTCCCTCCCCCCTACCCCACCCCCGCCGGGGTTCAAAAGAAATGCATTACTGGTGCGGATGGGGCCAGTTGTCAGACTGAGTTTTAGAAAACAAGCTGGCTATATATTTTTGTTGTTTGTGACATTAAGTCAGCTCTGACTCCTGGCGACCCTATGAATGGGCGACATCCGCTGTGCCCTGTCCTCACAGCCCTGCTCAGCTGCTGGAGACGCAGCCTACGGCTTCTTTTATGGACTCGGTCCATCTCGTATTTGCTCTGCCTCTTTTCCTGCGGCCTTCAATTTTTCCCAGCATTGCTGTCTTTCCCCAAGAACCCTGCCTTCAGCATCTACCTGTATCTATAGATCTTTATCTGAATCTATATTTATATATCTATATCTACCTATATAACTCTAACTGTCCATCCATCCATCCATCCATCCATCCATCCATCCATCCATCCATTCATCCATCCATTCATTCATCCTTCCTCCCATCCATCCATCCATGTAATGAGAAATAAAAGTATAAAATAAAGGGGTTCTGGCATCTTCCAATAAATGATTCTGCCCATCCACCAAAAAGTATACCACAAAGTCTTGACATTCACTCATTCATCCACTCACTAAATATTTATTGAGCTCCTACTGTGTACCAGGCAGTGGGCTATGCCTATTTTTAGTTTTTCTTTGCAATAATTCTGCAGGGTAGGGAACGTTATCTTCATTAAGCAATTTTAGTGAGTCCTACAGATAAAAACTGACTAAGCTTGAGGCCCAGATCTGTTTAATTCCAAAGCCTCTTCAATGTTTTAGATCCTTGTTTACTGTTTCCTCCCCAGTGAAATCATTTCTGATTTCCTCCTGGAACCGGACCCCCTCCATCTATCTCTCAGAGCTCTCACAGCAGCTTTACCGGGCAATGGCGCAGCAACGCCATGCTTACCTGTTTGTCTGAGAGTAACCGGAGATCAGCGGCAAGCCTGTATTCACCAAGCACAGTACCTAACAAAGGGAAGATACTTGTTAGATTCTTCTTGACTTGAATGGTCTGGGATTGTGTCTTCTAGGGTGTCCTCAGAGGCTCCTCAAAGAGGAAGCCATGACAGCTGCTCCTCTCACCGTGGCCACCCAGAAGCTCAACCCGTGCCTGATGGAGCTGTGCCGCTTTTTCCAGCAGTGCCTCTGCATGAGCCAGAGAAGGGACGTGAGGATAGCAGCCATGAGGTAACGTGGGCAGTTCTGCTTTGCCAGTATTTATAGCCTTTTTATTCTGTATGGCTCCTCTGCAGGCCACAGGTTTCCCAGCATTAAATAATCCTCAGAGAGGTGACAAGGGTACTTCAATGAGGTGGACTCTTCAGTGAGTCCGCTTCCAGACTGTCACCTCCTTGAGAACCAGGATGGGAGCTCATTCATTTCTGGGTCCCCAGATCCAAGTGCAGAGCATGACATTATAAGTGCCATTGAGTGCAGCCTAGTCGAGTCCAACTGAGTCAAGTCAAGTTGAGTTGAATTGAACTATGTCACATCTGATGGAATAATTACAGAGGATAATGAGCGGTCCCCAAACTCAAATGCTCTCAGCCTGGTGAGATTTGCTAAAAGGTAATAATCAGAAGATGTGTCCATCTAAATTCCAATTCTTTTATAAATCCCTATCAGTCATTTGCAGGCCAAATGAAAAGGCTGTAAAAGAAAATTAGAGGGCAGACCCCATCTTTAATTAAGAAGGTATAGATGTAGACAGTTTCCTGCTCTGGAAGGCTGACATACTATTTTTTCTTCTGGAATTTATTCTTGGCTGTAAACCCAGAACCAAGCAACATAGATGAATACCTCTGCTCCAGTGGCCTGAGGCCAGTCTCTCAGATCTTTAATGTTATTTTCCAAGACTACTCATGAGATCCTTCAGCTTTTCAAATCTCCATTATCCACTGGCTCTGAGCCCCGAGTTCAGATTCTCAGCCTTTTTCCATCGCTCCTTTCTGTCCCTGGTCTTGGGTCCCTCAACGAGTGCAAGATATTTCCTTTACCCAGACAGGAAAGTAAGCAAGAGCCATACGCCTGAGGGTGTTGGCAAGCAAGGTGGTGGCATTCATTCATGTAGAAGGGTAGCAGCATTCCTGCCTATATTTCCAGATTGTGGTGAGAACGAAATGAAATGAAATAACATACTTAACCGTTCCTGCAGAGTGCCTGGAAGATGTATGTCTGTGGTCGTTGGTGCCTTCCTCTCTTGTCCACTCTCATAGCCAAGTTTGAACCCCATCTCCAGCATCCTTGACATGTTTTAGCTGTGGCACCGAAATACCCAGGGGTCAGGACAGCTGCTGACCAAGCTTGACATGCCAGTGGTTGACCAGGGCTTTGAGATGTCACCTTGAGAATAGGAGGTTACAGGCTCACAGCAAAAGGAGCTCTGGTGATAGTCATCCTTCCATTCAACTCTTAGATCCACTCTGTTCTTTCTCTAGTCTGCTCTGCAATGTGAGGGTCTGACTGGTACATGCTACACTTCCCAGAATGCCTTGCCAGCCAGCTTCCTGTAAGTTTATCCAATAGGAGATACTTACAGGAGATCTTGGGCAGCAAATGGGAGAAGCCAGGGGGTTTCTCCCCCTTTATTTCTACTTCGAATAGTATTTCCCCTGTTGGCTCTTTCTAACCTCTTTATAGGTTAGAGTTCTTCTACCCCCTTTATAAGTAACTCCCAGTATTAAATTCCCTTTCCAGGACCACCTGGGTTCTGTTTTTCTCTGGCTGGGTCCTGACTCACATGGGTCTGATTGCTTGTTAGAATGGCAGTGTGTGCTGGCCTGGAGTGGAGTACGTGGGTTAAAATCCAGCGCTGCCATTTGAAAGCAGTGCATCCTTGGGCAAATCCATTTATCTCTGTGCCTTCGTTTCCTTAGGTTTAGTCTCTCATAAATTGAGGGTGATAGAACCTGGGAAATCTTTACAGCTAGCTCCCCAGAGTATGCTAGAATCACAGGATAATAGAGATGGGATAGAAATTAGAGCATGTTGAGCCCCCCATCCCAGGTGTGGGATTGAAAGGGAAGTGAATTTTCAGAGTCCTACAGTGAGCTTGTGTCACAGCCTGCCCTGAAAACACTTCTTTCTAATAATGTGATCAGTGCTCCTTTCACAGCAGCCCTTTGAAGTAATCTATGCAGTCACCAGCCAAGAGCGGGATATTATTTTGCCAAGTATTTGCTGCATGGCTAACTATAATGGCACTGTACACTCACTCTGTCTCACACACAAAATAGATAAACGGACGTTATCATTTACTGAGCACCTATTTTAAGCCAGGCAATGTGCAGGAGCCTTGCAAATGCTATCTCATTTAATCCCCATGATAACCTATGAGTTATCATAGGTTCTATTATTGCCTGTCCTTTGTAGATGAAAGAGCTAAGGCCCAGAGAATTAAGCAATCAGCCCAAAGTCACACATCTTCGTAAGGAATGATGCTAGGATTAAAAATAAGTCTTCCTGACTCTAAAGTCTACGCATTTTTCCTCATTCTGTACCTCTTCTCCCACACTCTATAAAGATCGAGAGGGGCTTCCTTGCTGTGAATAATTGGCCATTATCACGTTTTAAAATTCTGGTTCCTTCTAGCAGCCACAAAAGGTGGTGATTGCCCTCTACTGTGATTTAAATTTTTAGGGACTGTCTTGAATACTATTCCTGGTTTCTGAAGAATGCAACATACATCTGTCAGAGGGTGAAAAGGGTATCCCACTCACACAGTGAGTATACAACGTGATTATGTGATAACTCGTCAATAAATGCGTCCTTTGAAAAGGTTCTAGAACTCTGAGTGATTTTCCTGCCGAGGCAGGGGGCCACAAACTCATCTAATCATCACTAATTCTAGACAAAAAGAGCCTGATTCCTCTTCGCCTAACAGTTTGATGTTGGAAATGAGGTGTTAAAAAAGAAAAAAAAAAAGGAGTCAGACGGACCAAGTACTGTTGCTTTCTGCATGACCTTATCCTTGCTGAGTCCCCTTGTAAGCTAAAAATACAAACGAACAAAGAAAACTCAAACAGAAGACAGCCCCCGCGTATACACTCACATTCCCGACCAAAGCAAGTGTCTACAAGTTGAGAAAAGGGAGACAGCATGAGGTGCTGGGGGTGGGTGCATGGTACCTCTCTCCTCGTCCCGGTGGCATCAGCACCCCATTTTCTCTCAGAGACGCCAGACATCTTAGTTTTTCTCCCACTGCTGCAGACAAAAGCAGCTGATCCAGTCTATCTGGTCCCCAAACCAGTGGTTTGGCCATTTTATTGTGCCATCTACCTGAACTATCTCATCAAGGGACTCTGGCCTTCTAAAAATCATGTGACTATTTTGAACACTATGAAAAATCCCTTCTTAATGCAACCCAAATATAGGGTAGGTGATCATATCGTCCAGCCATCTTTTTTTTTTCTTAAAAAAGAAGTTTAGCCACCCAGTCCTTCCTTGTAGCACCTAAAGAATAGCTAATGGAAATCATATCACTCCCTAGAAACTGTTCTTATCCTGTAGCCCTCCGTTATCCCCCACTTCCCACAAACTACCATCTCAAAGCTTCTGTCTAGGCTTAATTTTCCAACTTACCCCTCAATAATGCTCCTGAAATCAAGCTTTCTGGCTCCCCTCTTGGTTTCTTTATACCTCCTCCATTTATTTTCATTTTGTTTTGCCTCAATACTTTCTTCTCTCTCACATGCATTCCCTTCTTCCTTACGCAAATCCATCACCCCACTTCTCCTGTCTTCTTTTTCCATCATCGCTTTTATTCTGCCACACAAAAGCCAGGCATTGGGAGCGGGGGAGTGGGGGAGCTCAGCATCCAACACAGAAGTCCCTTTATCAGGTGTGGGGAGAAGGAATAGGACATCTGGCAACCTTCTTCTAACTGAATAGCTCATCTTCTGCCCTTGCCACATTACAATCGCCTCACAAACAACATATTATGTTCACTGAGCAATATAATAATGACTTTAGATTAGCTTGATGCAAACTGGGGCGATGAGGGAGACATAGCCCGGTATTAGGAAAACATCACTGGACAGAGAGTGAAGAACGCGTGCTGCTTTCAACTTGACCTTGCTGCTAATTATTATACAGTAGCAAGGGGGTCTTGCAGAAGCTCTTTCTAGCTGTGCAAGTGGAAAGGGCTGATGGGTAGCCCCCCGTCCAGTGCCCTGCCACCTAGTCGTCCTCTAGAAGAGCCTGGCCCCATCGCTGCTACTGTCAGAATTTATGTCTCTGTAGCTTTTCCTTCTCAGTGCTTGAGCTCCCTCTTGTTTGTTTCCCCAGCCTTAAAACAAACGTGCCTTGAGAATATCTGCAAGTCTGTGTGAGGCCTTGAGAAAACAATGGGACCGAGCAATACATCGGGCTACGTCGCTTCACCCAGGCCCGAGTCGGCTGCGTTTGCAGAATTCACCTAGGCTCCAGGTAGATCAATTAATTGAAAGCGGTTCTTTTTGAAAATAGCATTTCTTTCTGTCCTGTGACTCTGCGGAAATATTGAAGGTGGGAGGCCGCCTGTCAGAAGCCTGACAATGAATGCAGTGATGCTAACTCCCCTGCCTGCTCCAAGGTCACAGACACTTAATATCAATGCTCAAGAAATGTCCAGGATGTTTGCAGCAACCATGAAGCTGTAGAAATGGGGGGGGGGGAGACACACTAGCATGAACAACAAACCAGTCTGGGCACTGGGACTGACCCAGTCCCTGACGTGACTTAAACTTGGGACATTTGGAAGAAAACTGACCCCATACTCTGGAGACACGCACATGTGACTTCTCTACACAGTTAACTTAAACTTGGTCTGTGCAGCTAATCAGACGTGTGGTCCTACGGCCTCCAGATAACCTTCCATGCTCCCAGTGTCAGAGGGGATGAGAACCTTCTCTAGATTCCTCGTCGGTGTGCCCCACTGTATTTGGGGGTCCCCAAGAGCACCTTCAAGTTCAACGATTCACTAATAAGATTGACAGAACTCAGACAAGTTGCTGTATACACATTTGCTATTTATGACAGCAAAAGGATACGGATTAAGATCAACAAAGGTAAAAGGTGCAGTGGGCAGGGTCCCAAACAACCCAGGCTCAAATCCAGTTGTCTTCTGCACGTGGAGTCCCATGGACAGCGCTTGTGCTCCCAGCAGTGATGTGTGACAACACGTGTGGAGTATCGTCAAGCAGAAAACTTCTCCGAGCCACGGTGTCTAGGGTTCTCACTGGGGTTGGCCATGTAGGCATGAAGTCACGGGTGACCTTAGTCATCCAGGGACTCCAGAGGTCAGACTGACATTGTGTGGTTCAAGGCCCCCCCTATAACTCACACTGTTAGCTTAGACTGCCTGCCGTGGCCCAAAGCCCCAGGTTTGCTCTCTCCAGCGGCCCTGCAAGGACCCTTAGTTCCTCACTATGGAGACAGCTTCCCTCCTGATGAGCCTAGAGTTCCCGGTGCAATCTCTCGCCTTAGCGCTGCCCAGCCACCGGGGTTCCACCCTTTTGTGATCTCTGCTGCCTTTTTGTGAGAAAAGTCACTGTCCATTTGGCATCCAAGGAGAAACAGTTCCCCTATCGGGAGGAACTACCCGGGAACATAGGTTCTTAAGGAAGTAGAGCTTGAACTCGGGGGAGAGAAGTAGCCAGACGCTCCTCTGTCTGATCAAACACAGAAAGATTTTATTTTAGTCTCCAGAACTTGAGAGATCCTCAAAGTTATGCAAGCATCAAGCACATAAAGACCCATTGTCATGATTTAGGGGCTGCAAAGGGCCCTCTGGTTTGCAAAGCTGTGGAAGACACAGTAAATTTGCTGGGGCACAGGGAAGCGTACCTGGATGAGAACCAAGAAAACAGCACCATTCATCAGCTGTGTGGGTTAATCTGATGGATGAAGCTGATATTAATCAAAGGCTGTTGGCAGGAAAGGATTCTGGATGTTTCCCAAAGAGTGATTTATCACCGGAGAACGTGGAGGTTGCACTGATGACTTGGTCCCGATACCCGGCTCTCTGTTTGTGGGGACGGCCTGTGTGGACTCAGACACCCCACATTTTGGGGATCATCACAGAACATGACTATAACTTGTAAAAGCCCAAACGTGGAGGACCTCTGAGGCCCTTGCAGGGGTCTGACCTCGCAGCAGGGACAAAGGCTCACAGGACCCTGTGGAATTGGTTTTCTAGGGTCATACTACTGTCAGAACAGCAGCTATGGCAGGAGGAAAACAGGCCCAGGAGCAAACCGACCAGACCCTGAAGCCGACACAGTCTCCTGGAGTTTAAGGGGGGGCTTTACACCCCCACCAGCTAAATAAGCCCTGATTAGGAGGATGCTTAGGGCAATGGGGAGGCCTCAGGGTCCTCCCACATTGGAGCGCCTACTTATTTGTGCATGTGTGGCCACTAGTGCATCACTGATGAGCTAAAAGAGGTAGGATGGTTATTCTCCTCCAGCTGATTAAGGAGACTATGCAGTTACACGCGTATCAGCATTAAACAGGCTTCTCCCTGGAAACAAAGGCACAGGTGCATTTCTGTCTATTTCATTCATGCCCCAAAGACAGGCGTAATTGGCAAGAGAAAGAGAGGGAAAAGGAGAGGGAGGGGTGGGGGAGAGGATGAGGGACAAGGACCACTAATGACTTGCAGAAACCCTTCAACGGATTCTGTAAAGGGTCCACTCTCCCCTGATTTAATTGCTGGGTGAGGACTGGGTCTCCAGGAGGCAGTGATAGAGTGAGAATCTCACAGCGTTCACAGCCAGGCTCACCTGTAAGCCAAGAATGGTCCCATCACATGTGAGCTGGGACGAACGCCTCAACCTCGATGACACCATTGGTCCTGTCTGTAAGATGGAACTGCTGTTCCATCCCCCTGCTGTAGGGATAACACGGACCAAATCCTGTAAGAATGCTTGTGGGGGCCGGCCGAGTGGTGCGATGGTTAAGAACTGGCTTGGGACGCCAGAGGGCCCCGGTTCGGATCCCACATATGAGGGCCAGTGACACTGCCCTCTACAGCTAAGATGCTGAACAACAGCTCAACCTGGAGCTGGGCTGCCATGAGTCGCCAGAGACAGCATAGGCTGCAGCCCGTGCTGCAGTGGGTTGCCATGGGCTACCATGAGCGGCCAGCAGCTACCGTGAGCGGCCAGCAGCTGCCGTGAGTGGCCGTCCAGAAGCCGGAGACCGATCTGCCTCGCCCAGGAAGAGCGCAATGATGGTGCCAACTTGGGCCAGTGAAGCAACGTCCTCCAACTAGACTGAAGAACAAAAAAGACAGCAACTTGTCTGTTCCCCTTCCCCCAATTCCCCAGCACTGTTCCCATCCCCCCAATTCCCCAATAAAAATCTTTAAAAAAAAAAAAAAGAATGTTTGTGGCCCATAACAGGCACTCAATACAGGCTAGCTCTCCTCGTTAAAACCAGGAAAGGACAGTTCTCAGGGGCTATGCGAGCGAAGAGGAGAAGCCAGGGTTCATCGAGCCCCTCTACCATCCCACACGCGACTCGGCTCGCTTCTTCCTCACAGTCCTAGGGGGATGTTCCCATTTGACGGACGCGGGAGCTGAGGCGGATGGGGGACTGGCTCCATGTTCCGTAGGTAGTGAGTCAGCAGGGCTGGCGCCGGAACCTAGGATGTCTGAATGTAAAGCCGCACCTCGTCCTGCCACGCCGCTTGGGCAGAAAACCCCGAAAGGAAAGAGGCATCAAATGCCCGGGCTTGAGGCCAGAAACATGTAAGGAGAATCACCCCAGAGATCCTCTTGCTGAAAATTAACTAGAGCAGACAAAGCCAGCCCTCTTCTGAGCAGGAGAGCCCGTGTGACTTTCATGGGTCTTTCATCCCTGAGTTACCCTGACGACCCTGAGACATAATCCCTGGGCCTCTAAACCTCTGAGGTGGGGTGGGGGTGTGGAACAGGGGAGTCTTTGTTCTCTAATTAGAGCCTGGGTCCCCTCTGCAGCTCAAGATGGGGCCTCTCACCACGGAGCAGGTCACATAGCATTAGGATGCCTCCTCCCCTCAGAGGCAGCCCACCTGCCGACTTCATGAAAGGCTGTTGTCTTCATGTGAGGAGGGCGTGGGTGTGTGTGTGTGTGTGGGGGGTCACATGACCAAGGGTCTTTCCTTGAGGTATAAAGGACTGGGTCCTTATCTTGTTCAAAGCCGAGCATCGTTCATCCAACTGCTTTAGAGTGGGACCTGCACGGTAGGCACCCCCTTCTCCTGATGGGGTGGGGAGCCAAAGGGGGGGGAGAGAAGGGTGTAGGGAGGTGGTAAGGATGGAAGAAGAAAAGGAGGGGAAAGGGAGAAAGAGGGAGGGAAGGATGAAAGGATGGAGGGAAAAATGGGTAATGGGGGAGAGGGAGGGAGGGACGGAGGGAGGGATGGGGGGGTTGCTCTCAAGGGATGTTTGAGACCTGGATGCAACCCCAGGATGTAGCTCAGAACCCAAAAGCACTCAGCCTTGCACAAGGCTCTGCAATGCCAGAGGGGCAGACCTGGGGAAAAACCCACCACACCACGTCAGTGAGGGTCCTGCAAGCCTGGGGGGGCCAGTGACTCGCTCCAGGGCACCTAGTGTTCAAATATAATCATCACGAATTATGGCCTGACCGTCCTGAGTGCTCAGTACATCCCAGGCACAGTGCCCCACTTACAAGGGTTATCCATTAAATCTTCATGATGCCCTGATGAAGAACTGCCATATGGGCATTTTACTGCCCACAAAATGAGTTCCAGGCAGCTTCAGTGCCTGGCTCAGGGCACCCAAGTGAAAGGCAGAGCCTGAGCCCCCCACCCGACCCCACCCCAGGTCTGCCCACCTGGAAAGGCCTTGCTCTCAGACAATTCCTGCACAGAATTGGTCATCAGGAGATAGCTTGGTGAACCGGGACTCCTAACAGTGTGTGGAGACCAATGCAAGGCTTGGGGGCCCCTAAGTTCCACAAGACAGCACGGCCCCCAAGGGCCACTGATAACCCACAGGCTTCCTTGGGAAAATTGGGCAAATGCGGCCTTTCCTCCAGGTGGACACAGCCCCTCATCCGACGCACCTGGCTTGGCTAACAGAAGGTGCTGGCTTTCAGCAGCGGCCCTGTGCCATCTCAGCCCCAGCCCCTTGTGTGCGTGTCCCCGATGGGGGTCCCCTCCCCCTGACCTGGGCTGCATATTTGCTGCCGCCTCTGGCTGGCACCGTGATGTCCCCTTCTTTGGCTGTCAGCTGGGGATTGTCAGTGGCAGTGCCACACCATGCCCCAGCAACTAGCTGGGCGCTCGGAGGGGCCTCCTGAGCAAGAATTGCCAAAAATCATGATAGTTGCACAGTGAATAATTACCAGGCTGCTTGTTTTGGATTTCATGGACAGCACGGCAGTTTAGGAAATACACATGGAGTAGACTTAAGTCGGCTGACTGGCCTCAGTTTGAATCCTGCGTCTGGTGTATCACGGGGAGGGCAGTCTTAGCAAGTCACCAGACCTTTCTGAATCTCAGGCCCCCATCTAGACAGCGAGCCATGTGACAGTGCAAGTCCTAGCATTTCTTTATAAGCTGGTACAGGGAGAATGCTCAGTGTAGCACAGGACACGAAGAATGACCCAATAAATAA